CTCAAGCCGAGAATTGGCGAGTGCCTCTAGAGGTATTCCAGGGCGGATGGCATCTCCCCACGGGGGGAGTCTCCCCTCTCCGTCTGGAGCCTCTAGACCACTCAAACCTGAGGGGTTGGCTTAACTAGAGGGCGTCCCTCTAGAGGGTGGTTCTCAGGGTGTTTTCCCCTGCAGTTGGCACACGTCGCTGGCTGCGTGAGCGGGCGGGGGCAATCGGCGGCAGCGTGTGGGTCACCGCAACGCACGCAGGCAAGCGGGCGGTGACATCCTTGGCTGGAGTGGCGAAACCCCTGGCAGCGGTGGCATTGCGCGGGGGTCTTTCTTCCTCTCCAGGCTTCAATTTGGATCCCGGGTATGCACAGGAGCTCGTTTATTGTGTAGATAGCCGGGATGGTGTCTGGAGTTTGTTTCAACGCAACAAAGTACAGGCATCCGGCGCGGCCTGCTCGCGCCCGGATTTGTTTGGCGTATTCAACTTCGTGTCCTTTTTCTCTGAGGGCGACTGCAATATCGTGCGGCGTTGTGTTCATGGGTAGCCCTCTGATTGCTACCTTGAGGCTGCGATCTTCAGGGCGAGCGTGCGAGTACCAGCTCAGCCCGCTCATTCCCTTGAGGTTGGTTAGGTAGCTGGTGATGGTGCTGCTTTCGTGGTCGTCTGACGGCATGAAACGTATACCCGTGCCCAATGGGCGTATATTTGGGGGCCGTCCGAGCTTGGTATGTAGTGCTCACAGGTGCGTCGGCCAGTCTGGGAGTTGTTCAACCACGATCGGCGGGCATTTGTGTTCCCGCTGGGTTGTGGAAGCATCACTGGTGGCTGGTTGCGCAGGCGACACGGTGGTGGGTGAGGCGGCGGTCGGTTTCTCATTTTTCGTTGCATCGGGGGTAGACACGAAACTTTTTGCCTTCTGGGCGTAGCTTACCGACTGTGTCTGTGTCGGTAAAGCAGTTTCGTGTTTTCCTTGGGCAGCGGGGGCGGTCACGCCGGCTTGTTGTCCTTCGTGCTTCGGTTTGGCTTTCGGAGTGGGCGTCATCATCGTGACGGGGTCACCGCAGCTGCGGGACCGGCAGAGGCGCGGGTCGCATGAGCGCCTTCTGCGCGATTGACTCTTCTCTGGTTTAGGCTTCTTGCCATTAATGGGCTTCTGGTCTATGTTGCGGGGCGGCGGGAAGGTGAGTTGTCTTGGATGACAAGGCGGTCACCGAGGCGGTAATTGTAGGTGGCGCTCTCATCCATCTCGAGGAGACGGACGTAGCACCAGATCCAGTCTTCCATTCTCTCAGACAACAGCCCAGAGTCCAGGAGTCGGGCTGCCATCACAGCGTCCAATTCATATTGGACGCGTGGCGATTTTAGCCCGAACACCGCGGTTCCGTAGTGTGTGATGTTATACACGTCGTCTGAGTCGAGCGGACGGCCGGAGTCTTCCATGATGCGGAGGTGGGGTCTACGCCTGCGCGATCATGGCCGAGCTGCGCCTCACGGCGCGCTCAAGGCATGCTGCTCGGAGCGAGGCAGTCGTCGCTGGCACAGAGTGGCGCCTGGCAGTCTCACGGAGGCAGAAACGTCACGTTTGTGTCTGGAGAGCTTGCGGTTGCGTAGGGATCCGTGCGACGGCGTAGTACAGTCCGTCTAGCTCAGTTGCTCGGTCAGTCAAGTTCATGTCAAGGGAGTATTCCTAAATACTCATCAGTATACTGGCCAGTGGTAATGACGTCACGAATCCGACGCCATATTGCTACACTGGTATGCTACTGATATTCACCGGGAAAATGAATGACGTATGACCGAGCGTGCCTGAGATACATTCGAATTTTATTTCTTTGTTATTTAAAGAACAATAATGGCATTCGAACACAAAGAATTCCTTTTAATTGATGAGGTGAATAAAAAATCTTCTTTATTCACACTATTTTTAATATTTCGTCGATTTATGACGTCAGTGCACTGGCCTGTATATTTCGGAACAATTCTCCAGTATAGCGTCAATTCATGATGTCATTAGCACTGGCCAGTATACTGGTTTATATTACGGAATACACCCCAAGTCAAGTGAGTCAGTCAGTCGATAATGGTCATTAGCTTAAACTGCAAAACGATTCGACACTATCTATCATCTTTGCTTTGCTAAATCGTTATTTATCAATTTGTACTTACTGCACCTTGCACTGCACTATCAAAAGTGTCGTGTCGTGTCGTGGCGCACCGGAAGCACCTATGTTTCATATATTTTCAATGGTTAGAGACATATTTACGTGTTGTATCGTGTCGACGCTCTAACCTCACTCTCTCTAAACCATTATAAATGTATGAAACCAATGCGTCACGACACGACACGCCACGACGCGTTAATATGTTTCTGGCTTAAGAAAGGAGTGGGAAAGACGACGAGTGCGAAGACGGTGATCCAGTAATGGGATGCTATTGCAGAAATATATTATACATATTTTTTTAGTAAATATTGTATTTATTTATATCACATTGCTCATGTACATTATTTATTATAGGGTCTTACATACTTAATAGTGAGTGGTACATGACCCCGTTGGGGTGTTGCAACAAACTTGAGCTTAACATTAAATACATTAATTTCACTTAATTGTTGATCATATTAAATCACATCAGGTTCAAACAAAATCAATCCATTTGAAAAATTAATCTAGTCAATTTATATCATATCATGTCATCATTATATTTTGTATTTCTAATACATATTTTGAATGTTGGGGGTTTTTGCTCTAAACCTGTATTTTGGGGGGAAGGCGACATGACTTTCTGGTAACACTGGAGTCAAATCTGTCAAAAGTTGTTTTTGGCAGGATTTCATCGAGTGCGGTCGGCGTCTTATTTTATTTATTCATAAATTCGTTCATAGTGGATATTGTGGAATAAAATTGGTGTGATTTTGTGTTACAAGCATCTGCGCAAATGTAGAATTATTCGAATCTTTTAAATATACGCTATTCCGGTCAAGTGGACGTGAGAACTTTATTGTAGTGTTGACTACCTCACAAAAGCTTATCGGAAAAACCAACTCGGTACTTTTCGTGCCAAACACTCCAAGAAACATTAGAATGCGTCACACCGACATTCTAATGTAAATAAAAAATGAAGATAAGGATTTGTATTTATGTATACGACTGAAAGACTTGTATCCATGGTCATGAATTATTAAAACAAAAAAAAACTCTGTCAATAGGCATAGATTCTAAGTACAATGTATACATTGCCAATAAATTAAAAAAAAAACTGTCAAACTGACAATGACAAGCTAACTACCTATATATCTCGGTACTAGCTGGGTACCTCGACAAATAAACAGAAAATTATAGAATTATTCCTACTAACATTTGACAATGCCTCGTGAAAAAAGTCGTTATCGTGATAGAAGAAGTTCTTCTCTTAGTTCCGGCTCCTCTTATGAAAGGAAAAAGTCAAAAAGCAAACATAAACGACGTTCTCGATCAAGAGATAGATCAGAATCAAGTAGCCACAGAAGAAAACGTTCCTCTTCTCGCACAAGACATAAAAGAAGAAGTTATTCACGTAGTATTTCCCGAGACCGATATGAGTCAAAGTCGAGGAGACGGTCACGGTCGCGCGGTAAACGTTCACGGAGATCCGTATCCCGAGATCATTCGCACTCAAGGTCTAGTTCAAGGAGTCGCCCAAAGCATAAGAGCAAGAAATCTGCAAAGAGGTCACGCTCTTCTAGTAGTCGGTCCAGTTCATTTGACATAGGTAACTTACAGAAATTACATTCTTCACCCAATTTTTATATAGTTACCAAAGGTAATATTCAGTGCAGTCTTTGACCTATTGGTGATTTAACAGGAACTCAGGACTTTGTATTTGATTTAAGGGGGGCCCCCTATCGATCGCGGGGCCCTGGGGCACTTGCCCAAAGTGCCCAAAGACAGGTCTGGTAATATTTAACTTTTTCTTTAATTACAGAGAGACCTTTTCCACCAAAGCCTGTTAATTTAGATGATACTGAAATGAAATTGGAAAAAGCCATCAAAGCAGCAGAGGCTGCTGGCTTAACTATGACAAAAATCCCCACTTATGAGTATAAAGAAGTGGAAGTAAAAGAGGATATGCCTACAATACATGATCGCAACCTACTTGCTGAACTCAATTGTGATTCCTTTGTGCAAAAAACATTTACATCTTCAAGGAATAAGAAGCAGTCTCAAAATATAGTAATCGATTTAAACACACAGACTGTCACTGTTCCTGAGACAGATATTAAAGTCAAGAAAGATGATTCTATTATCAATTTTGATGTAAGTACATTGTCAAACATTTACCTCCTCTTAAAATGGAAAGGTCTTTAAGTAGTACAGTACCCTCAATATGAGTTTTCGTAATTGTAAATTATGTTTCTATGTCCATTTTGGTCAAAAGTAACCAAATATACTTATAATTTAAGAAGACGCGAATGATTTAATGGTAGAATTTAAATACTGTTTATTTGTATTGAAACGAAAACAATAAACTCATACTAAGGGTGCTGTTATAATAAATATTAACAATGTTTAATAATACTGTTGTGGAATTTAAATATACAAGTTAGATCCATATTTTTATAAACATACAAAACACCATTTTGTTGTGCCATATCAGGGTCTATGTTTGGAACTCCTTAATCATCATCTAAAACCAACTCTTTTTGGAGTAAATCAATTTCATATTCAGATAGTGTAGACATTTGTAATAAAGTGTATTGTCCGTAATCCCCTACATCATAGAGCTCTTAACAGTTTTCACATACATATTTTCAGGCTATACCCAGTGAAGAGGAACTGAAAGAGTTGTGGATCAAGAAAGTGTACCAATATAGAAAGAAAATGCTCAAGGGTGAAATTTGAAAATAAAGTTTATGGCAGTTTCGACATTAGTTTTATTATGCTTTAATTATTTAGTTATTGAAAGAATCATGGCTTGATTTCCCTTTATTTTAAATGTTAAACAAGTATGTACAAAATTCACTGCTTGTGTATTTAAGGAAAGGCAAGCTGAATCAAGGAGACCAATAAAAACAACCTAAAATATTTTTATTGAATACAACAACATAACGTCATCTGCTAGCCGCAATTCACAATTTGAAACATATTCTGCATCTAGTAGTTTATATATACAACACAGCGAAGGTCCATGGAGTAGAATTACTCTCACATGTTGTTCCTTTCGCGTTGAATACGACTGCTATACGTCCGTGACACGAGGTTCCAGGCATCCATATATCTGTCCATGCACATGGCGATGCATTTCTGTTCAGAATTGTCCAAAGCAGTGCCTGGTTTATTGATACACTTTTTGAAACATTTCTCAGACATCTTCGTGAGGAGTTCTTGTGCATTTGCTATTGCTATTTGCTGTTTCACCTGATCCATCAAGTCTTCTTTTTGCACTCCACTTAAAGATCCAGTGGATAAGCTATCCATTTTGGTTTTATTTTACGGATTTGTTAAATTTAAATTAATTTTGGAAAGAAATAACCTCGAAACTCAATAATGTCAATTACAGAGATATTTTTTTTACATTCTCGTTCTCCATTTTCAGGGAAGACAAAGGGAACAATTCCTAGACAGCCTAGTCTTAAGTTTTATTAAAATTCTTTTCTTTATCTTTAGAATGTCAGTGTTACGCATTCTAATGTTTCTTGTAGTGTTTGGCATGAAATTTATTGAGTTGGCTTTTTGGATAAGCTTCTGTAAGGTAGTCCACACTACAATAAAGTTTTCACGTCCACTTGACCGGAATAGCGTATATTTTAAAGATTCCACTAATTCTTCAGTGCTGTGCTTTTTCATTTAAGATTGCAAGAAGTATATACAGTATGTCTATAAAGTCGTGACATTAAATGATGGCGCCACTAGTATGCATGTAGCAACCCTATACAGTCGGACCAAAATGATTTTGATACTAGCAGTTCATTCAAGTAAAATAGGTAATTAATAAGACACACTATACAGTCGTATTTTGTTTCTGTTTTATATATGTATAGTAGGTACCTATGCTAATAAAAAGTTTAGCCAAGCATATTTAATTGAATCAGAATAAAATTATTATAGATTAAATAGTACTGTATAGTGTAAAAGTGTGTAATGTTGGTGATTACCGCTGAGGTGTCATTGAGACCAGAGTCGTTAGGTAATCATCAATACACACAAGATTCATCATACGACGTTTTTTAACACACTTGTTAAGAAAATAATACTAAAAATCATTTTATAGTATATAAAAAGTTTATTTAGAGAAACAATTTGTAAATGTGCAGTTAGTAAAATTAGTGATAGGTATCTTCACTAAAAGCATCTGGCCATGGTTCTTTATGTGACCATTTCTTTGTTTGGTCGGCCTTGCCTGTTTTCTCAGGAGTTTAAAACTTTCCATCATTCTTAAACCTTCGTTGACTATCCGACTCTGATTTTCCTGAAAAAAGGTAAAAAAATATGTAACGGAATAGAAACAATATCTTATTTCCATGAAGAAATTAATTCAAAATTGGTAGAAAACCTGACCGAGTTGAACCATAATAACGTATCAAAAGAAATGGTCGTACTACAATATTACCTATTTACAATGTCAATCTAACCTAAAAATGTGCAATGTAAACAATGCCTTTTTTGGTAAAATCGTAAATTGAGTAAATTTGTAACTTCAGGCAGATTACAAACAAACAGTTACACGATTACATACCCGCCATAGATGCTGTTCGCCCATAAACATCATCCAAATCCCGCAAAATTCGTCCAGCTTGGTAGTCTTATAAACATCGCTTGAAAACTTTAAAAATCACTTCCCGCGTGCCACTCCAATTTACTATACTCATTTTTATACCTTTCTGCGTAGTTTCGTCTTAATTTATTACAGTTTAATCCAAACAATAAAAAGTACAAAAGGAAAACTGTTCCACAACTGAAACTCGATGACAGCTGATGTACATAAGTTTGGTGTTGCCAGACACATGAATAATGTTAGTTCCTCAAACATTCATGTCACGACTTTATAGACAAACTGTAAATGGTAGATCGCACAAAGGTTTCGACAACAAAAAGTAGATCTTGGGTCTAATCAAGTCGGGATATGACTTCTAAACAAACGACGTGGCTGCGGCCTAACTGAAAACACAAAAGAAGACTGTTAATTAGAAAATAATAAAAAGAAAAACACTAAGAAATAAGTACAAGTCCCTTTGATCTAGAAAGATGATTGAAGAGAAGACAAGATACCTAAAAGAAGACTTGGCTCCGGCCTCAAGAAAGAAGAAATTACATAATAATAAACTTAACAAAATTGGCTGTAAGGGCAAAGTACCCCTTGCCTTTCCAGAATGGGTAAAGAAATTTAAAAAAAGGAATATCAACAAACAAATATTTTTTACCAAACATAAAAAATAAAAATATGAATCAAATAGCTGATACTCTAAGCCATGACGACCTGATCCAAGTAAGTCATTCTGCCATCAACGATATTATTAATTCAGATCCTTTACTATCAGATCTCCCTGGTGATATGATTTTGGAGGAAATTTTTTCTCAGGTTAGTTTGCTTGGTTCTATTTTCTTGGAATAATTATTTGAAAGACGGGTTTTTGCTTTTGTTCATAATTTTTGTTATAGATAGCTGTTGAACATGGACAATCTATAACTGTCATAATATCAAGGGAAGGTGAGCCTGCTTTGAAAGTTATTGTAAGTATGAAGTAAATTTAACCTACATATATTATTTATTATATTTGTTTCTTAGGTTTTCACGCACATCACTCATTAAATAAAACTAGTTTTAACGGGTTAATGCACGTAACTTCATTTATTTTTTGACGTTTCGCAGCCTTTTCAGGTCTGCATCGTCAGAATTCTGAGTTTTATTTAATATTATCCATGTTGAGCATGATAAAATTATTAAAATAAACTATTAATTTTATAGGTTCCTCAAGATACAAAAGTGATTGATCTAAAGAAGGCGGTAGCAAGGCATTTCGAGATATATCAAAAACGAATTGGAAACAAAGTAAAGATATCTTGGAAGTATATTTGGAAAACATATGACTTGAGTTATGATGGTTTAATATTAAACAACGACTGTAGTAGTATTGAGGATTATGGAGTTGTCAACAAAGTTACTCTACAATTCAAGAAGAAAAGAAAAAAGAAAAGATGATTTTTTTCATTTTCAATAATGACACTTTATTTAAGCTTCAGTATCCCATTGTAAAACTTTACACAATCTATTCAAAAATGAGAATTAAATCATAGAATATATATAAATGAATATATTTCATCATATTGCTTAATTACTACAGAACAAATAGAACTTTAGGAAGTAATATGAGAATTTAAAGTTGCTCAAAGTCTGGTTGTGGTGGAGGCTCTTGTGGCAAAGGCTCAAAGTCTCCGAGGGTGTATTGGGGCTCCTCGTGGCGCGGCGTCGCTAGCGGACGGTCATAAGCATCTTTCAGCAGCTCTTGATCATTCTGCCAAAATTTTAGTACAATTACTTAAGTGTTCGGTGCACATATACATACAAGTATTTATCAAACAAAATTAATAAAAATATAATTATTTAAAAACTCTGACTTCAGCCCACATGATATAAAGTAGACCTGGAAGCCAAGGTAGCACCTGCCTTCTTCGCTTTGCGTGTATATTGAATGCAGAAACAACATACAGTATATTTTTTTTTCTTAGGTTTCATGCACATCACTCATTAAATAAACCAAGTTTCAATGGGTTAGATGCACTGATTTTGGTTATTAATTCTGACGAAAATCATTATTCTGACGACGCATTCCTGCAAGGATGTGAACCATTAAAAAATAAATAGAATCAGTGCATCTAACCCATTTAAACTTGGTTTATTTAATACAGTATAGTGGTCCTTAGCTGCAGTAATCTCATCAAAATAGGAGAATAATCCCTCAAATCAGAGCTCTAATTCAAGAGAACTTTCCCTGTTGCAAACTTCTTTTGAAAGTTAGTACAATACATCAGCCCTGATCCAAAACACATAATAGAATATGCCCTCATATTCTATTACTCTAAAATACAGATATTTGTATGAAACATCTATGTTATATTTATGAAACAGTTGCTTCATTTTCATCAGTATGTTCATTAGAATGAAGTATCTTGTAATATCATGACGCCAAAAAGGATATTATAAACAGTGTACTGCAATTGTGAAGTGCAATCTTACTATTTTAGACCTCAAATACAAATATGGTGATGATAGGTTTGTACTTCATTATGAAACATATTTAGGAATATAATTAAGAAAGTATGATGAAACTTTTTGCTATCTTGTAATGCCTGCACTTAAATTGGCTATTCGTACTACCTATTTATAAAATTGAAATCAGTCTGTCCTTATCACGCTTTATAAGGAGTGGAAGGAAAAACGGATGTCAAGTTTACAAATAGCAAACACAAATATCCAAGTGAAGTGACACTATAACAGAATGAAAAATTGTATCAGCACCTGATCCGACTGCAAGACTGATGGCGGGGCGAGGTCGTCCAGCGACAGCTGCGTGTTGAGCACCGAGGGCGGGGCGTAGTCCGATATTGCCGGCACGCTTTCTTGCACCTACACAAAACGTATTATGTTTAAACGGGTGTTACGACATTGGTCAAATCGACACATTAAATACAAATACAAGTGCTTCATATCCATACCTTATTATTACAGTATATTAACTATGAAATATGAATTGGAAAAAGGTATAGGCAGCTGGTTTTAAGCCTACCCATTGTCAAATTTTAGTGGTTAGTTATACAATTTAAATGCAATTATTATTAATAGCCAATTTTAGGCCAACATTAGGAATTGGGCAAATTGGTAATTCGTCAAATTATGTAATTGTTACACGATTGGTCAAAATCAAAGAAATTGGACAAATTGGTAATTCGTAAAATTATGTAACAAGTTACATAAATTAAAATTAACAATTTGTCAAATTTCTAATTTTTCAATTAGACGATTCGACCAATATAAAATTTGACCAATTTTGATAAATATTTAGAATTCGAGAAAAAAAATATTTCAACAATGTAGGTATAAAAATTTAAAAAAAGGGTTAATTGCTTAGATTAACACAAAAGGAAAGATACGGCACTCGCGGCTCAAAAGCGATCCGCTGAAATTGATGCACCCCAATTCACTTTAGTCACATAATATACATATACTAGCTGACCCAGCGAACTTCGTACCCGCCCTAAAAAAATAGGGGTTGTCCAGCGGACAAAATTGTGAATCTAAACTATTCTCAGATCCCCTTGAACACACACAAAAATTTCATCAAAATCGGTCCAGTCGTTTAAGAGAAGTTCAGTGACATACACACTCACAGAAGAATTATATATATAAAGATATTTTATTATGAATGTGAAAGTTTGTATGTTTATTACTTATTCACACAAAAGCGGCTGAACGAATTTGGATGAAATTTGGCTGATCAATCCTTCGACCGATGTCGGTTGCTTTAGTTCTCCCGCTACTTTTATTTAAGTTGCTAGTTCATAAATGGGGATTACCTAGTAGTTAGATGAAAGCGGTTGATAACTAGATGAACGAAGCATTAGTACACTAACCGGTTCTGGGGGCGCGTCGTCGGCGAGTTTATGCGAGTTGTCGTCTGGGCCCGCCCCTACGGTATTGGCACGCGCGTCTTCTTCCGTCGCGTACGCAGATTTGTGCTCACACATCAGCAAGTGTGTCAGCATGTCAGTGCCTGAATAGAGGGGGAAAAGGTATTGAAAAAAATTAATAAATCAACCATCGAAAGAAATTCAAACGCAAAGAAGTGTGTGTGTGTGTGTGTGTGTGTGTGTGTGTGTGTGTGCGCGCGGGCACCTGTGTGCGTGTGGTAGCCGCACACGCAGCGGGCGGGCGCGGGCGCGGCGCGGGGCGCGTCCTCGAGGCAGTGTGTGTGTGTGTGTGTGTGTGTGTGTGTGTGTGTGCCCACCTGTGTGCGTGTGGTAGCCGCACACGCAGCGGGCGGGCGCGGGCGCGGCGCGGGGCGCGTCCTCGAGGCAGTGTGTGTGTGTGTGTGTGTGTGTGTGTGTGTGTGTGCCCACCTGTGTGCGTGTGGTAGCCGCACACGCAGCGGGCGGGCGCGGGCGCGGCGCGGGGCGCGTCCTCGAGGCAGTGTGTGTGTGTGTGTGTGTGTGTGTGTGTGTGTGTGTGTGTGTGTGCCCACCTGTGTGCGTGTGGTAGCCGCACACGCAGCGGGCGGGCGCGGGCGCGGCGCGGGGCGCGTCCTCGAGGCAGTGTGTGTGTGTGTGTGTGTGTGTGTGTGTGTGTGTGTGTGTGTGTGTGTGTGTGCCCACCTGTGTGCGTGTGGTAGCCGCACACGCAGCGGGCGGGCGCGGGCGCGGCGCGGGGCGCGTCCTCGAGGCAGTGTGTGTGTGTGTGTGTGTGTGTGTGTGTGTGTGTGTGTGTGCCCACCTGTGTGCGTGTGGTAGCCGCACACGCAGCGGGCGGGCGCGGGCGCGGCGCGGGGCGCGTCCTCGAGGCAGTGTGTGTGTGTGTGTGTGTGTGTGTGTGTGTGTGTGTGTGTGTGTGTGCCCACCTGTGTGCGTGTGGTAGCCGCACACGCAGCGGGCGGGCGCGGGCGCGGCGCGGGGCGCGTCCTCGAGGCAGTGTGTGTGTGTGTGTGTGTGTGTGTGTGTGTGTGTGTGTGTGTGTGCCCACCTGTGTGCGTGTGGTAGCCGCACACGCAGCGGGCGGGCGCGGGCGCGGCGCGGGGCGCGTCCTCGAGGCAGTGTGTGTGTGTGTGTGTGTGTGTGTGTGTGTGTGTGTGTGTGTGTGTGTGTGCCCACCTGTGTGCGTGTGGTAGCCGCACACGCAGCGGGCGGGCGCGGGCGCGGCGCGGGGCGCGTCCTCGAGGCAGTGTGTGTGTGTGTGTGTGTGTGTGTGTGTGTGTGTGTGCCCACCTGTGTGCGTGTGGTAGCCGCACACGCAGCGGGCGGGCGCGGGCGCGGCGCGGGGCGCGTCCTCGAGGCAGTGTGTGTGTGTGTGTGTGTGTGTGTGTGTGTGTGCCCACCTGTGTGCGTGTGGTAGCCGCACACGCAGCGGGCGGGCGCGGGCGCGGCGCGGGGCGCGTCCTCGAGGCAGTGTGTGTGTGTGTGTGTGTGTGTGTGTGTGTGTGTGTGTGTGTGTGCCCACCTGTGTGCGTGTGGTAGCCGCACACGCAGCGGGCGGGCGCGGGCGCGGCGCGGGGCGCGTCCTCGAGGCAGTGTGTGTGTGTGTGTGTGTGTGTGTGTGTGTGTGTGTGCCCACCTGTGTGCGTGTGGTAGCCGCACACGCAGCGGGCGGGCGCGGGCGCGGCGCGGGGCGCGTCCTCGAGGCAGTGTGTGTGTGTGTGTGTGTGTGTGTGTGTGCCCACCTGTGTGCGTGTGGTAGCCGCACACGCAGCGGGCAGGCGCGGGCGCGGCGCGGGGCGCGTCCTCGAGGCAGTGTGTGTGTGTGTGTGTGTGTGTGTGTGTGCCCACCTGTGTGCGTGTGGTAGCCGCACACGCAGCGGGCGGGCGCGGGCGCGGCGCGGGGCGCGTCCTCGAGGCAGTGTGTGTGTGTGTGTGTGTGTGTGTGTGTGTGCCCACCTGTGTGCGTGTGGTAGCCGCACACGCAGCGGGCGGGCGCGGGCGCGGCGCGGGGCGCGTCCTCGAGGCAGTGTGTGTGTGTGTGTGTGTGTGTGTGTGTGCCCACCTGTGTGCGTGTGGTAGCCGCACACGCAGCGGGCGGGCGCGGGCGCGGCGCGGGGCGCGTCCTCGAGGCAGTGTGTGTGTGTGTGTGTGTGTGTGTGTGTGTGTGTGTGTGTGTGTGCCCACCTGTGTGCGTGTGGTAGCCGCACACGCAGCGGGCGGGCGCGGGCGCGGCGCGGGGCGCGTCCTCGAGGCAGTGTGTGTGTGTGTGTGTGTGTGTGTGTGTGTGTGTGCCCACCTGTGTGCGTGTGGTAGCCGCACACGCAGCGGGCGGGCGCGGGCGCGGCGCGGGGCGCGTCCTCGAGGCAGTGTGTGTGTGTGTGTGTGTGTGTGTGTGTGCCCACCTGTGTGCGTGTGGTAGCCGCACACGCAGCGGGCAGGCGCGGGCGCGGCGCGGGGCGCGTCCTCGAGGCAGTGTGTGTGTGTGTGTGTGTGTGTGTGTGTGCCCACCTGTGTGCGTGTGGTAGCCGCACACGCAGCGGGCGGGCGCGGGCGCGGCGCGGGGCGCGTCCTCGAGGCAGTGTGTGTGTGTGTGTGTGTGTGTGTGTGTGTGCCCACCTGTGTGCGTGTGGTAGCCGCACACGCAGCGGGCGGGCGCGGGCGCGGCGCGGGGCGCGTCCTCGAGGCAGTGTGTGTGTGTGTGTGTGTGTGTGTGTGTGCCCACCTGTGTGCGTGTGGTAGCCGCACACGCAGCGGGCGGGCGCGGGCGCGGCGCGGGGCGCGTCCTCGAGGCAGTGTGTGTGTGTGTGTGTGTGTGTGTGTGTGTGTGTGCCCACCTGTGTGCGTGTGGTAGCCGCACACGCAGCGGGCGGGCGCGGGCGCGGCGCGGGGCGCGTCCTCGAGGCAGTGTGTGTGTGTGTGTGTGTGTGTGTGTGTGTGTGTGTGCCCACCTGTGTGCGTGTGGTAGCCGCACACGCAGCGGGCGGGCGCGGGCGCGGCGCGGGGCGCGTCCTCGAGGCAGTGTGTGTGTGTGTGTGTGTGTGTGTGTGTGTGTGTGCCCACCTGTGTGCGTGTGGTAGCCGCACACGCAGCGGGCGGGCGCGGGCGCGGCGCGGGGCGCGTCCTCGAGGCAGTGTGTGTGTGTGTGTGTGTGTGTGTGTGTGTGTGTGTGTGCCCACCTGTGTGCGTGTGGTAGCCGCACACGCAGCGGGCGGGCGCGGGCGCGGCGCGGGGCGCGTCCTCGAGGCAGTGTGTGTGTGTGTGTGTGTGTGTGTGTGTGTGTGTGTGTGTGTGTGCCCACCTGTGTGCGTGTGGTAGCCGCACACGCAGCGGGCGGGCGCGGGCGCGGCGCGGGGCGCGTCCTCGAGGCAGTGTGTGTGTGTGTGTGTGTGTGTGTGTGTGTGTGTGCCCACCTGTGTGCGTGTGGTAGCCGCACACGCAGCGGGCGGGCGCGGGCGCGGCGCGGGGCGCGTCCTCGAGGCAGTGTGTGTGTGTGTGTGTGTGTGTGTGTGTGTGTGTGCCCACCTGTGTGCGTGTGGTAGCCGCACACGCAGCGGGCGGGCGCGGGCGCGGCGCGGGGCGCGTCCTCGAGGCAGTGTGTGTGTGTGTGTGTGTGTGTGTGTGTGTGTGTGCCCACCTGTGTGCGTGTGGTAGCCGCACACGCAGCGGGCGGGCGCGGGCGCGGCGCGGGGCGCGTCCTCGAGGCAGTGTGTGTGTGTGTGTGTGTGTGTGTGTGTGTGTGTGCCCACCTGTGTGCGTGTGGTAGCCGCACACGCAGCGGGCGGGCGCGGGCGCGGCGCGGGGCGCGTCCTCGAGGCAGTGTGTGTGTGTGTGTGTGTGTGTGTGCCCACCTGTGTGCGTGTGGTAGCCGCACACGCAGCGGGCGGGCGCGGGCGCGGCGCGGGGCGCGTCCTCGAGGCAGTGTGTGTGTGTGTGTGTGTGTGTGTGTGTGTGTGTGCCCACCTGTGTGCGTGTGGTAGCCGCACACGCAGCGGGCGGGCGCGGGCGCGGCGCGGGGCGCGTCCTCGAGGCAGTGTGTGTGTGTGTGTGTGTGTGTGTGTGTGTGTGTGCCCACCTGTGTGCGTGTGGTAGCCGCACACGCAGCGGGCGGGCGCGGGCGCGGCGCGGGGCGCGTCCTCGAGGCAGTGTGTGTGTGTGTGTGTGTGTGTGTGTGTGTGTGTGCCCACCTGTGTGCGTGTGGTAGCCGCACACGCAGCGGGCGGGCGCGGGCGCGGCGCGGGGCGCGTCCTCGAGGCAGTGTGTGTGTGTGTGTGTGTGTGTGTGTGTGTGTGTGCCCACCTGTGTGCGTGTGGTAGCCGCACACGCAGCGGGCGGGCGCGGGCGCGGCGCGGGGCGCGTCCTCGAGGCAGTGTGTGTGTGTGTGTGTGTGTGTGTGTGTGTGTGTGCCCACCTGTGTGCGTGTGGTAGCCGCACACGCAGCGGGCGGGCGCGGGCGCGGCGCGGGGCGCGTCCTCGAGGCAGTGTGTGTGTGTGTGTGTGTGTGTGTGTGTGTGTGTGCCCACCTGTGTGCGTGTGGTAGCCGCACACGCAGCGGGCGGGCGCGGGCGCGGCGCGGGGCGCGTCCTCGAGGCAGTGTGTGTGTGTGTGTGTGTGTGTGTGTGTGTGTGTGCCCACCTGTGTGCGTGTGGTAGCCGCACACGCAGCGGGCGGGCGCGGGCGCGGCGCGGGGCGCGTCCTCGAGGCAGTGTGTGTGTGTGTGTGTGTGTGTGTGTGTGTGTGTGCCCACCTGTGTGCGTGTGGTAGCCGCACACGCAGCGGGCGGGCGCGGGCGCGGCGCGGGGCGCGTCCTCGAGGCAGTGTGTGTGTGTGTGTGTGTGTGTGTGTGTGTGTGTGCCCACCTGTGTGCGTGTGGTAGCCGCACACGCAGCGGGCGGGCGCGGGCGCGGCGCGGGGCGCGTCCTCGAGGCAGTGTGTGTGTGTGTGTGTGTGTGTGTGTGTGTGTGTGTGTGTGTGTGCCCACCTGTGTGCGTGTGGTAGCCGCACACGCAGCGGGCGGGCGCGGGCGCGGCGCGGGGCGCGTCCTCGAGGCAGTGTGTGTGTGTGTGTGTGTGTGTGTGTGTGCCCACCTGTGTGCGTGTGGTAGCCGCACACGCAGCGGGCGGGCGCGGGCGCGGCGCGGGGCGCGTCCTCGAGGCAGTGTGTGTGTGTGTGTGTGTGTGTGTGTGTGCCCACCTGTGTGCGTGTGGTAGCCGCACACGCAGCGGGCGGGCGCGGGCGCGGCGCGGGGCGCGTCCTCGAGGCAGTGTGGTCCGGCGCAGAGCCCCGCGTGCTGCAGTAACGCGCGGTAGCAGGAGCTCACGAATGGACACTTGGTGCATCGCGCGCTGCCACTGTACGACAACATCCATGTTTAATTAAATTTTCAATGATCACCCAAATAAAAAAATGGTTGCCTGTAAAGTCGGTTTTACGGGCGAAGATTTTACGTGACAACGTCTTTTTCTCGGTAGAATATTTATTGATATGAATATAATTAAATTGCACAATAGGAACAAGGAATTGAATGAAAATAAGAATTGCACAAATTTTAACTATAGAAATATATTTTGTTTACTAAAACATTGTACATGTAAACTTAAACTTAACACGAGAGACTCATCGTAACGTTACCGAGCGTTACACTTTTTCATAAGTGACTCCCAGCCGCAACCTAATTTAAGACGTTGTCACGTCAAAATAATAAATTGCAGCATTATTTTATTTCATATTTAATACAGTAGTTATGTACTAGCAACTGTTCGACAGAAACTGTTAACCAAAAAAAAGTCTCTTCGGCGACGACCGGTCTTTTTTCTTCTTTTAAATTTAATAGAAAATCGACCTTGGATACTTTTGATAAGGTTTCAATTATTTCTTTAACGAACAGCAAGAAAGAATTCCTAATACCGTTATGGCTCAATTACACTTAGTCGTTAGCCCGTAATTCGGGTGCACTAAAGACTTTACTCGAATTCGAAGACCCGACGCAATATTCAGAGTGGAATATGGTGTCGGATAACCAAAAAGAATACTAATCAAAACTAAGGTACTCGACTCCGTTCGTTTACACATTATCGTTTGCCCGAATTTCATTGGCAATCGTATTCGGGATAACGACAAAGTGTATTTGAGCCTGTTTACGAAACGAAATGAAACTATAAGATTGATCTCTCAACTCAAACTCGTAAGAAGTTTATTAAAGTCTAACGGCATCCATGTATTCATTATAGGTAACAACAGGATAGCGCGAGTCACAATCATACAGCGCCATCTATCGACACACGAAGTATACATTAAGGATACTTAACATATTGATACCAACGATATTAAATAGCCTAGATACACCACGCGCGCTCAAAATGTATCCCAATCAAGAAGTGCTTGAACACCACTCAAGTACTTCTTGGTTCACAGTCACACGCGGACCGGCGAAAAGTAAAGATGCCGCAGAGCTCCGCAAAAAAATACGAAAACAATACTTATAGTACGTTAAATATGGTATTTTGGACAGGTATGTAATCAATATTTGTTAATTTGACGCATTTAAAGCAAATTTTGTTCTAATACTTACTATAAACTGATTTAATAGAAAATATTTGTGATATTCAAATGCATGGTCGGTAATATAGCCGCCGTCTCTTTTCCACGCGGTCCGTAACTGATATTTTGCTAACAGCGCATTCAGAATTGCGCGTAGAGACAAAGAAATAAGGTCTATATTCCTTCGCATATAGCAATAAGTCGTAAAATGTTATGAGCTTGCATTTGGAACTGGCGTATCTCTTTGATGCATGCGTTTTATGCCTTATATAGTATGCATTAAAGGTGACTTTCAGTGTTTAAATAAACTCTTATATTGTTTTTGACTACGGGATCATCTTACGGAGCTCCGTGGAACGTTCAATGTACCTTTAGGACAGTTTTCGGCCCCGATTTTGTTCGTGTTGGTGTATCTAGGGTATTTATTTATCGTTGTATTGATACACGCAAACGCTAGTGCGGGTCACATTTACACAACGCCATCTATTGATGCATGGAGTACACACGTATCTTAACAGGCCATTAGGTACATAAATGGCTTGGTGTTATATCGTCTCCTGCCAGTATGTAGTGTACTCACAGGAAGTGCTTGTCGCTCTCTAGCGGAGTGTCACACTCGCGGCACAGGAAGCCGTCGGGCAGCACTAGCGTCATGTCTTCGTACGACTCCGTTATGTTGTGACTCGCCGTGTCTTTTACTGGAGGACGAGCCTTGTTCTAAGTTATCAAAACGAAACACTTAATATTTATAAAATCCAGAATGTATAAATAAATTTTTTAGAAATTTTTACACATTCTGTAACCCAAATAATCAATCAATCAATCAATTATTTATTTGCAAATACAGGTGATACAAAGGTGTTAAATTATATAAATGAAGTGGAAATGGTATTACGTGTATGTTTGATGTAAATACCAATGATTTTTTTTTATAGCCAGGTAGGCGACTCTAGCCCAACTGATGTTTAGTTGTGATAGAGTCCAAACGCGAAGATAGCTGGTACAGTAGTTGTAAACTGCCACACCAACCATCCTCACCTTGCCGGCCTGCAAAAATGCCTGTTCACGCCTCTCTTAAAGGACCCAAGATTGTAGGAAGGAGAGAACACGTGCCAATCCACTTACATATAGTACGACAAAGAAATGAGACACCAAAGACATATGTATTTGACGTGACATTAACTATAGTGGAATTTAAGTTGTAACGTTATGCGTTACATAATCATATTATTACCCTAAAATACTCTTAAATTTAATATTTACAATGCCTAAAACTAAATAATAACACTATTAGATTTAATTCTACACTAAAAACTACTTATAAAAATAAAACACAATTTTATTATAACTAAATTATTTACAAATCATAATAATATTAATAAACAAATTGGCTATTTACAATAATAAAACTATTCACTGACACTAAAATGCAACATAAATTCATCAAGCGGATTTGTATACGTAAACTCGCGCGATGCAACATTTTAGTGCTCCAAGCAGGATCTTTTGTTCTTGCTAAGATAAAACTGCATGACCGGCCGCCCGCGAATTCACTTTTTTTCTCGATGTAATTTGAGCGGACGTACGTCACAGAGAATTTTATGGTCGCTAATACGGGAAAATTTAATCTTTAAAACTCGTAACCAATATAATATTTTTCGTGATCGTCACTCAGCGTTCCTTAAATAAATAATATCATAAATTATTGTGAAGTGAGTGTCGACCGCCCCGAAACTGGGGTTCAACGCTCGGGATACTAACTTGGCCGGTATCACCTCTCGGCCCTACTTTCATCACACGAGAGTACTCTCTGCCTGGCTCAGCTACCCGTTCCTGCAGCCTCCAGTCGCCAGCGGTATCCATAACGCGACTCCCGGGATCACCAACTACCTGGCGTTACACAGGAGAGTACCTGAACCGACGAACCTAAAGAACTTGTGTGGATTAAGTGCTCAACCCCCACCTGTAAAATTTGTATTTTCTCCGGGTCGAGTTTTTTATTAAATTTTTAATTTGCATGGTATCCTGTTGTCTCATTTTCTCATTCTCTGACCTTAGTTAGTAGACCAGGGTGACCGTGACAAAGTATGGATGAAATAATGCGGCCTAAGAGACATTACTTCTATTCATTATTCGTACTATTTAGTGAAAATGTTATAAATAAGTTGGCATTACCTTTGGTTGGTTGATCAAATGGTCTTCTGAACACAAAGGAGTTGCATTCTCCACTGTGTTGTGATCACGTACTTGATGTTCTTTCATTTGACCTAAAATACATACACGCATTTCAAGACCTATGTACCAACATCATTTTGCTTTTAATCGTTTAACAAGATAGGAATAAAAATAACTTCAAATCGAAACATTATTCTATCGCCTGGGTTAATTCTGTAATTATAACAACGAAACATTAATCACATAACATGGTCCTTCGAGCGGGATTTAACTATTTTGAAAGAACAGCTAATTGATAGCTTTTATATGAAATGCTTAAATAGAAATGATTTTTTTGCTCCATGGTCAAGCGACCGAAATCGCCTGTTATTGGCCAAGACTAAAATGACGTCACACGGTAGTAATAGTAAACTTCCGACTAAAGTGACATTAAATTGTACCGTTTGACGTTTTAATTTCAGTCGTGTGACGTTACACACTAGTGAGACGCTATATAATCCAGAGAAACATTTTCGCGGCAACTTGAAAATATATATATACACCGTGTTCCTGAGGATATACATTAACTTTGAATAATACTTCTATAGCTCTTGTTAAACATATCGTACAAGGAAAGTAGTAGTTTAAATAGCATAGTTTTTAAGTTATTGGTATTTTAAGTTTAACCAACTTAATTGTGTTGTGTAGTGAGAAAGAGTCTATCTGTGAGATGTTGCCACTTTGTGCAACCAAAACTATCAAACTATCAACTCTTTGTCAATGGTCATTAAGTCATAGTTTCAAAAGTCAAAATTTGAATAAACATTGTTGACGTCAAGAAGTTTCAAAAAGTTTATGTGGATATGTGAACCAAAGTTTCAAATGTGACGTTGCCAGCTCAAGTAAAGGGTAATTCATATTAGATAAATTACTTCTAAGCATTTAGTTTGTATGAAAATAAAAAATGTTTAAGAAATTGGAATTCATAAAAGTGTCCATTGTGTGTCCAAGTGTTACACAATTGAACTCCATAAACATTAGTTAATAACGTGATATCGTTTTCTAAAAATTGTTAAATATACCCATACTATGCCCTACCTCTCTTAACCTGTGAAAATTATCGAGTTTGTTTGCTCACCAAGGTGCAGGAACCGCAGCACGCATCTGTTGCAGCGTATATCGAGCTGGCCGTGGTGCTGTTTCAGGTGGTCGATGTACAGCATCACGTTGGCGGTCAGCTCGTGCCCGTCCGCGTATACTATTATTACCTAGACAATATTTTGGATATATAGAAAATACCGTTTAAAGGTTTTCTGGAATAACGGGCACAAAGTAGTAGCACTGAGACGAAAGATCTACGCATCCATCAAATCGCGTAGACATACGCGACATCTATACGTCCCAAATATAAACAACACGGAGAAAGTCATCACTCGCCTCGTCAAGAGAGGGCGCTACGTAAAGACAAGTATGAAAGCCATCATCGCGCAAGAGAAATTCAGAAGGTAACTCTTTATATATGATACGGCCGACCAACATCGCCGCGAAGCCCGATATCCGAGCTACCATCACAGGTGAAAATCTTCTCCTTAGGCCTTCCAACGAGTTTGAATCACATTATACCTTGAGGAGCTCAATGGCGCAGGTGGCTGTGCGGACAGTGCAGCGTATTGTCGCGCGCGTGTCGTACGCGGTAGTGGTCGCAGGCGACGCGTTGGTCGCATGTGACGCACGCGTACGTATACCTTGAGGCAGTGCGGACAGTGCAGCGTATTGTCGCGCGCGTGTCGTACGCGGTAGTGGTCGCAGGCGACGCGTTGGTCGCATGTGACGCACGCGTACGTATACCTTGAGGCAGTGCGGACAGTGCAGCGTATTGTCGCGCGCATGTCGAGCGCGGTAGTGGTCGCAGGCGACGCGGTGGTCGCATGTGACGCACACGTACGTATACCTTGAGGCAGTGCGGACAGTGCAGCGTATTGTCGAGCGCGGTAGTGGTCGCAGGCGACGCGGTGGTCGCATCTGACGCACACGTACGTATACTTTGAGGCAGTGCGGACAGTGCAGCGTATTGTCGCGCGCGTGTCGTACGCGGTAGTGGTCGCAGGCGACGCGTTGGTCGCATGTGACGCACGCGTACGTATACCTTGAGGCAGTGCGGACAGTGCAGCGTATTGTCGCGCGCATGTCGAGCGCGGTAGTGGTCGCAGGCGACGCGGTGGTCGCATGTGACGCACACGTACGTATACCTTGAGGCAGTGCGGACAGTGCAGCGTATTGTCGCGCGCGTGTCGAGCGCGGTAGTGGTCGCAGGCGACGCGGTGGTCGCATCTGACGCACACGTACGTATACTTTGAGGCAGTGCGGACAGTGCAGCGTATTGTCGCGCGCGTGTCGTACGCGGTAGTGGTCGCAGGCGACGCGTTGGTCGCATGTGACGCACGCGTACGTATACCTTGAGGCAGTGCGGACAGTGCAGCGTATTGTCGCGCGCATGTCGAGCGCGGTAGTGGTCGCAGGCGACGAGGTGGTCGCATGTGACGCACACGTACGTATACCTTGAGGCAGTGCGGACAGTGCAGCGTATTGTCGCGCGCGTGTCGTACGCGGTAGTGGTCGCAGGCGACGCGTTGGTCGCATGTGACGCACGCGTACGTATACCTTGAGGCAGTGCGGACAGTGCAGCGTATTGTCGCGCGCATGTCGAGCGCGGTAGTGGTCGCAGGCGACGCGGTGGTCGCATGTGACGCACACGTACGTATACCTTGAGGCAGTGCGGACAGTGCAGCGTATTGTCGCGCGCATGTCGAGCGCGGTAGTGGTCGCAGGCGACGCGGTGGTCGCATGTGACGCACACGTACGTATACCTTGAGGCAGTGCGGACAGTGCAGCGTATTGTCGCGCGCATGTCGAGCGCGGTAGTGGTCGCAGGCGACGCGGTGGTCGCATGTGACGCACACGTACGTATACCTTGAGGCAGTGCGGACAGTGCAGCGTATTGTCGCGCGCGTGTCGGGCGCGGTAGTGGTCGCAGGCGGCGCGGTGGCTGGACGCGCGGTAGTCGCAGGAGCCGCACGCGTACGGCAGTTCCAGAGGCACATGGCACTTCTGCATGTGCGACGCCAGAGTTAGCACTGCGGCGAAACGGACCTGGGAATCATACCAAAGATGAATAATGTTACATTAAGGACTGAGTTATACAAATACATACATTTTTTTTATATTATAGGCTACCATTGTATACGAGCTGACGGCTCACCAGATGGTAAGTGATCAGCGTTGTCCATAGACACTTGCAACACCAAAAGTATCACAAATGCGCAGCCGCCCTTCAAGGAAGGAGTACGCTCTTTTTTTTAGTTTATCGGGTCGCATTGATCCAAAAATGCTGCTGGTGACAATGTTTTTCACAGTTTTGTCAAACTTGGTAAAAAATTCGACATAATCGAAAGGTTGTGGATTATATATGAATAAAATGCTATGGTGTATTGCACTGAACACGCGATTGATACAGCTGCGAGTAAAGCTGTACAGCAAACTACGCTGTGGCAAACTGAGCTAGCAACGTAGCGCAGACTAAGATATGCGAGTTTTATTTAGTTGACACACCATCGATAATTTCACTAATTTTCAATAAACATTTAAAGATGCAGGTAGTACTCGACCGCGTGAATTGCTAACGCGTTCAGAGATTTACCCGTTACCTAGCTTATCGTAGTCGCGATTGATCCCGTGATGCTGATTACAATACTCGTTTCCTACACTTTAAAATGATGCCATTGGCTGACCGACGCAGACTATCTGATCTTATGACACTACATAAGCATATTTATGGAAAATGTTTTTTTCCAAATCTAATTAAACAGGTCAGTATTAAAGTTCCTTATCGAATAACTAGATATCCCATGTCAATAAGCTTTGACCTCCCTCGTAACAATACTAGACTTGGTGAGTGTGCTCTTCTAAACCGGTGTATACAGTGCGTACCTACAGTGATTTACAAGTCTGCAGTGTCGACGTTGTCCACGATTCTGAGCGCGTGTTTAAGAGGTTATTTGTGAAAAAATTAAAATTGGACCGTAACACAGACAAAATATTATGATTGAGTATGAATATTTATCAAGTTAGTGGATTTCTTTTTTGTTTGTTTAATCTGTCATTGTACTTTATTTGTATTTATGTAAATGATGTATTCACCTGTAAGAAGCATATCTTTAAGTATGGTATTTAAACATTTTTTAAATCGTAATGTAAAATTATATGTGAATCTTTGTCAATAATATAAAAACATATCGTATAATACGAGAAACAGAATGGGTCCCAAGATCGAACCCTGGGAGACTCCCGGCGAGGTGCGGAATACTTTCGATTTATAGCCGTTCACAACTACCGTTGTTGTTAAGAACTGATGCTTTAAGTAAGAACGGAGCCATAATAGTAGGGGTCCATTAATTCCGTAACGCTCAGTTTCAAAAACAGTATGTTTTGGACAACCTAGTCAAACGCACTGCTAAAATCTGTATAAATAGAATCTATTTCTACGCCAGAGCCGATTGATTTCGTTAGTCTGTTGACATACGAAACAAGATTGGTTGCTGCTCAGTTATTTTTACAGAATCTGTGCTGGTTCGCATGAATGAAGTTTTTAAAATGGGAAGTTAAAATTGGAATAAGATTGGAACATCGCACGCGTTCTGTGTTATGATGACGTTATATCGTTTAGAATCTGTAAACATTATTTTCCAACAAAGGTCACTAAAACATAGTACCTAAATCATACAGATATAAATTTCAATGCTTACGCGACACGCACACAGACAAAAGAAAATATTATGACAAAACAAATATCATCAAATGATTCGGCTATCCATTCATTGGATAAGATAATGTTAAACGGAAATCCCAACCAATCCAAATTTGTAGAATACTTTTTGCGGCTCTTTAAAACATTCTTTGGTTTACACTTATTAACTTAACATATTTTGTTTCTCCAACAAGTTTGATACAACTATTGTTTATGTTTATACATGTCTATAAGTGTGAAACAAAAAGTTAACCCCAAGCTCTTTAAGTATTATAATAAGCCTAAATTGGCACTGGCTGCATTGTCAACGACCGGCTTTACATCCCTTTTCAAGTACCAGTATAGAAAGCAGTCTTCCTTTTATCTCTCGGCAAAGCCAGGTGGAGCTTTTCCAGTAACCACTTTATTTGCAAGAAGTCAGTTCAATAGTTGATCTATATACATATATAACACCATTAATAAATATTTATATTTATATATATGATAAGATTTATTATCAATAAATAAAATAAAATAAATATTTCCGACACTCACACCAATTAGCCTAGCCCCAAAGTAAGCACTGTAAGGCTTGTGTTATGGGATGCTAGGGTAACGGATAGAATACATATACTGTACATATATAAGTATATTTATATAGAAATACATATTAAACATCCATGACTGGAGTACAAATGCTCGTATTCATCACACAAACATCTGCCCCCACCGGGATTCGAACCCGGGACCTCTCGAGTCGGCGACACCATGAAACCCGGCGTACAAACCACTCGACCACGGAGGTCGTCAAAGGTAAGGTCGTAAGAGGTAGCATTTATTATCAATGCAAAGGTCTACTGATAAAATGGTTAACACCTAAACCATATGACGTAACCGAAATATTATTAAGCTCTAGTATTCTTGCACACACACACAGAAACACTCACACCCACATTTACACTTACGTAGGCATAAACACCTAACTTCTAAACTAATTACATCTTGGTCATAGTTTGTTGGAATTTATTGGAATGTTATAATATCTATTTTAAGGAAGATACTGCTCCTGACAGGCTATTTAAGCTTAAAAGGAGATGCTGGTCATTAGTTTAAGATCACATTATTGTTCAAGCCAATAAAATCTCATTATATTATTACTAGCTGACCCAGCGAATTTCGTACCGCCATAAAAATAGGGGTTGGTGGTATAAAGTTGAAAATTTAGGGATGTATGTATTTTTGTATGATTTATCATAACAAAATTAAAAAAAAATATCTAAAAATGAAAAAAAAAATTAGGGGTGGATTACCCTTAACATTTAGGGGGATGCAAAATAGATGTTGTCCGATTCTCAGACCTACCCAATATGCACACAAAGTTTCATGAGAATCGGGAAAGCCGTTTCGGAGAAGTTTAACCACAAACACCGCGACACGAGAATTTTATATATTAGATAACTCAAAGACGTTAACCGATGACTCAAATTTAGAAGACGTTATCACGTCAAAACTATCTCACCTCGCATATGAGGCATGCGTATGTAAACATCTCCGGCGACTTAGTATCGGCGGGGTGAGCCGTGTTGAGATGTGCCCGCAGTTCTGTATCAGATATGAACCGCTGCAGGCAGTACTGGCATTGTTCGGGCCCGCCTTCTTCGGGCACCGCGTGATTGAACAGATGCAGCATCAGCGACACGTTGTCGTTGAACTCCACCTCGCACAATGGACACTGTCGACACAGTAAAAAACAGTATCGGTAAATAAAATTTCTACAGTAAAAGTTACAGAAAAATTAGAAAACAGCCAGAAGGTTGGTTTTCGCTATCCTCGACTATAATTACCTAAACTTACCGCTATTAATTTTGGCAAGTGTCGCGAGGTGCGAATAAAAAGGGTATTTGACAAGTTTTAAAAACGAATCTCACGGTATTTATTAATGCTTATGGAGTTTATTAAAAAAATGGCATCTCACTACAACCAACCGATACAATGTAATGTCACTTTGATAGGTAATTTACTAGCATGTGACGTCATTTTAATCTTCGGCAATCCCAGGCGTTAGCAGCTATTTTACTACTCTGAGAGAACAAATAATTAATAACTTTTTTTTTATAGATAGGTCCGACAAATGACCCCACCTGATGTTAAGTGACGCTGAAGTCCAGACGGGAAGATAGCTGATACAGCAGTTCTACCTGCCGCACCAGGCATCCTCACCCTGCCGGCCTGCATGTTGCTTCTTCACGCCTCTTTTAAAGGATCCCAGGTTGTAAGGTGGGAACATGTGAGCAGGCAGAGCTTTCCATTTCTAACACATTAAATAGAAATGTATTTTCTTCTCAGTGGTCACGTGACCGAAGACGACTAGGATTGGCGAAGATTAAAATGACGTCACACGCTAGTAAACCTCCGGTGAAAGTGACATTGAATTGTATCGTTTAACGTTATAACGATAGTCGTGTGACGCCACATTCTATTAAGATGCTTTCTGTTGTAAATTGTGTATGTCCAGAGAAACTTCACGGTAACTTGAAAATTGAATTTTTGATTTAGATTTTTTAATTTAATACCTAAATGAATGAATGGACTCCATAAACATTAGTAAATAACGTGAGATTGTTTTTTAAATCTTGGTAAATGCCCTATTGCATAATGTGATAATGTTAACATAATTGAACCATAATTAATGAACCATGGTGTATGGTTTCCAGAGTTACACGAGAATGATGGCTGGGTTACCAGAACTATTGAATCGCAAGCACATAATGTTTTTTTTGGTTGTATTCTTATACTAGCGGCCCGCCCTCGCTTCGCTTCGGTGTAGAGCTGAAGTGTAGACTACAGTTTTTGTTCTCAGGCTTGTATTATACACAATGACATTCATCTATGATTCTTCTTATACCTGCATGCATAGTCTTAGCCCGATCGGTTTAAAATTGACAAAGTTTCATACAAACTTTCATTCCCTATTATATCCCCTTGGGGGTAGAATTGATCAAAATCCTTAGCGGATGCCTACGTCATAACATGTACCTGCATGGCAAATTTCAGCCCGATCCGTCCAGTGGTTTGGGTTGTGCGTTGATAGATCACTATGTCAGTCAGTCAGTCACCTTTGAGTTTTATACATATAGATTCTTCAGACTTGTCCGAATCTTTTCATATTTTGTTTAATTTTATTTTAGCTATATTAATATTGTTTTATTAGCAGCACATAATGTTAGTCGCATACAGGGCCATTTCTAGTTAAAAAATAAACAATTCAACATACCTGCACAGCGATGGCCATCTTGTGTTCCTCTTTATCCCCACCGATTTGTCCAAAGTAATACCTCTCCATCGACACCGTCTCCTCAGGTTTGACTTCCTTCTTGATGGCTTTAAGTGGCACATCGTCCAAGTCGTCATCGACGTAACTCTTGGGTGCTTTGCGGCGTCCCCGGGTCGGGGTGGGGGTTTCCTCTTTCAACTTTTCTTTGTCCTTTTCTTTGGCTTTCTCATTCTCCTGCTTGATTTTGGTGCGACGGAGGGCGAGCGGTATCTGTGTGGAAAGTAAGTAATGGATATTAGGCTTTGATAGAAAATGCCCAATTTCACAACCATCGACTTTCGACTTTTACTAAGCACTCACCGAAATGATAGCAGTACCCTTAGCACGAACCAATATCGAATTCGAATAGTTTGCGAGTCTGTACTAATTTTGAAATGTGTACTGATTTTTAGTTCCCGTTACGTCGTTTGTGGCGCTGCTGTTCAAGTTTCCATACTAAATTTGACAATGACAATTCCGACTCGCAAACTATTCGAATTCGATATTGGTTCGTGCTAGGGGTACAGTTCACATAGTTCACATTACAGCTTACAGATAGTCTACGAAAACTGTCTCGTAAAGGTTATTACAATAAAATGATAAAACGATGTTGTTTGCTTAAGCAGTTTTTTGCTACCGTACAAATAACGTAATAAGAGGCGTATCGAATAGCTCGCAGCGCGGATGTTAGCAAGATACTTAAACATATATAATTGTACGGGTTTGCCCGTACTGGTGCATTTTTCAATATGAAAATCTTGTGGAATTTCGTTTTGTGATTATTCTAACTAATTATAACATGGAGTCTCTGTTAATTTGCAATTAAAAAAGTATGGTTCTTGGTTGCTATTTATTGAGAGATCGGATTGAGAGTAGCCTTACCAACTGTAAAGCAAAACTTGGTAGAGAAGTATGACAGAGAAGAAATTATCGGGTTGATAAAATAAATATGTCCAACACTCACACCAATTAGCCTAGTCCCAAAGTAAGAGCTGTAGGCTTGTATTATGGAATGCTAGGGTAACGGATAGAATACATAAACTGATACATATATATGAACATTTACATAGAAATACATATAAACATTCATGATTGTGTCCCCCACCGGGATTCGAACCCGGGACAAGGCGACACCTTGAAACCCGTCGTACAAACCATGAAGGTGTATAAAAGGTGGAGAGAGTACCTAGAACTACAAAGTGAAGACAAGTTTAATGACCCTAGTTATGTTTTCTATCCTTCTCACACTTTATGTAAAGTTGCCATTATAAATTGAAAGAGTCCCTAATAAAGAGACTAATAAGCCAAAATGAAGCTTAGCAATACGTAATTACGTGATTTTTTTAAACACTTTTATATAATGGCGTCATAAAGTATCTTTAACTCTTCATTTAAGCATGCAAAAAGGTATATTTAAAAAATATATTTAAATTCCTTACGTCCCTAAATGTCGGTCGCTGTGATTTTAATAAAATGGTAACACTGACAGAATTGTCATTTGTGAAAAGTCAAATAATTTTCACCACCTCGAAGTTTTAAATACTAAAAGGAATTGTTTTGCTATAATTTTTGTGGATTTTAAGAATGTATTGCATTGTACAAAATTGCAGAAGTATTTGGAAACCTGGTTCTAACATCAAGTTTCACAGGTAAGTGTAATTTTACTCTTTTATGCGTACTTAATCTCAGTCACAGAGGTTTCGATCAAATTGCTAATATCCGTTAGAAATTAATGAATATTATTTATTTTGGTGCCTAAAACGGTGAGTCTGATGGTATAACAATCATATTTTGGTACTTGTTATGCCGTATCTGTCGAGTTAAGTTTAATAATATTTTCAAGTAAGGTAACAATATTTTGGGAAATTTAGAGAAAGGAATTATTATACAAACTATTTAATTGGCTTAACATATTGATAATGGGCTGTTTTCAAAATTTAAATCTTGTTTCATTAACCTTACATACCCTTTAATAGTATGTCTATGCTCGGCATTGTGAATAAGATTTCAAAGGAGATGTTGAGTTTGTATGGAGGTTGGTATTCGGCCACCCCCCAAGACAAAAGTTATATGAGATGAAAGAGTATGTTTTTTTGAATTTCTTATAATTTTAAATCACTGCATTTTAACAAAAAACAGCAATTTATTCTGGTGCAATAAATCAATATTCAAAGCTAAAATTTAAAATGTAACACGTCAATGTCATATGTTGGGGCTAATTCTGGTATGATTCTCCAAATCCAAACCTGACAACAGTCTCTCTTTTTCATTTGTTATATAGCACGACAAGGATACACTATTAAAAAATTCAATTTTAGGTTCAGGGAATCATGCCAGAATCGTGTCCATTGTCTTGTCAAAATATTTTTATAACTAGGCATCGATCTAGGGTTCCATTTGGTTCAGCCTACAACTATTAATATTTATTTTTTTATAAATCAATGTTATTAGCAAGTTGGTTTTTGATCTTGTTTCTGACTAATAATAGGGATGTAATTTTTTTACATTAATTAATCAGAGAACATTCGATTTAATGGTTAGATTTCTTGAATACACTTTTTAAAATTACTCAATAATGCAAGGGTTTAAAGTTAAAAAAAGGATATTTAAGATCCGTTGAGCATAAGCTTTCGTTTAATTGTATGATTTGTCGTGGGGGTTTTACTATACTAAAAAATGAACATCTCTTTTTTTAAGTATGTTCAGTAAACAAACACATCATGGCAGAAATTTCAATGAGAGTAATTAATATATATAATACTGCCTGCAATGAAACAATATTGAAATAGTAGATTAAACATATTCTATATTATTGTTATAATGATGTTTATATTACAGCTTTCCAAAGGATTTAATAAAAAGAAATAATTGGTTATCTATTATACCAATTAAGGGCAAATTTTATCCAACAGCTAAGATCTGCAGTTTGCATTTTACTCCAGAAAACTATGATCCAGAGAGACCTGGACACCTTTTAAGCAGTGCTGTACCTAATTATTTATCACAACCATGTGATTGTATTTCAAGTTGTCCTATGGTAATATATTATTATCATAAAATATAAAATAGTACATATCTAACCTCTTTTGGGTAAAAATACTTTTAAATATCTTTTATTTTAATTTTAGGCTTGTACCAGACAAGCTTCTACAAGTAGAACTCTAAAGGAAATTAAATTTAAATCTGTAAATAGTGATGCTCCATCAACAGGCATAACACAATATAAGGCTATAGAAAATCTGGTAAGTTGTTAATTTGTGTGCAACCTTAACATAATAGTACATTTTTATACTAGTGAACAAAGTTCATATTAGAAGCCTCATATTGGAAGATAGATTATGCTTGTCATTTTTCCGTACTTACGAGTTACAAACGTACTAAAATAAGTAGGTATGTGTTGCATTGACATTTGCTTTTGTCAGTGACCTCTCATATCATTTAAAAAATATTAAATTTTCAGTTAAGCAATCAATCATTACATAAAGAGTCTGTGGTAAAGGTAACTGATCCTACAATACCAAGTACGAGCACTGCCTTTTTAAAAATGATACCTTCCTCCTCAAGCGATCCGGCCATGGCAAGACATCCATGCTGATATTATTATTAAGTCATTTAATAATAATTAAAAAAAAAGTTCCACCAGCAAGTTTCTATAATTAATAATTTAAATCGTTAATGATTGATAAAATAAAATGTCCTCTTTTCAGATCCATAGCCAATTATCACATGAAGAGTCTATGCTACCAGTGACTGATCTAGCTGAAGCAGTTATAAACTCTGCTCCCATGAAAATTATTCCCTCGTCATTCCCGGATCTAGTCTCAGTAATCATCCTCATATTGATTTAATTTCAATATAATATATATTATTTTATTCCACTAGAAACTAATAAATATCCATTAATTTTTAGGCTTTTGGGCGTTCTTTTAGTCAAACATATATGCTGCCAACAATGAGTACTTCACTGCCAACAAGTTCAATGATCGGTCCAGCACCACCTCACAACAGCTCTAATTATGATAAACAGAACGTCAGAATCCTAAAAGATATAGTCAATGTAAGGTTTTTTAAACATTTCGATAGAATATAATTTTGTTAAATTCTGTTGTTATACATTTAGGACACACATAATTTTCTACTTTAATTGGAACACCTTTCTCTGAAAGTAACTTCCACCTTACAGCAGACTACAGTGAAATCACACATTTTTTGGTGATGTTGTGTTTCTGTACTCAGTTTTCAAAACTTTACTCAGTTTTCAGGGCTCTACATAAAAATATAACCTTATTTAGTGTTATATGTGTGTGTGTATGAGATTTTGTTTCCAGAGCTCCACGGGGTAGGGAATGTGGTCAGTATAGGCAAAGTGGGGAGTGAAACAATGGTATAGCAAGCGTCAATAGACTATGTCATAGTATATTCATCATAACATATAATATATTCGTTATAGCGTCATCATAGTCACTATGATGACGCTTTCCAAAGGCCCCTTTAAATTTGGCTATATTTTTTTCAGATCCATAACGAAAATATTCTGACTTCCAGCCACAGAATTAGAGATAAATGTGTTCAAGCTAAACTGAAAACACAAAAAGAAATAATACTCCAGAAGAAGAATAAAGCGTTGGTGCAAAAAATTGTCCGAAAAAATATTTCAATCAAGAATATGAAATCTTTACTTGCTATTGTAAAGAAATACACGTCCCAAACTGAAATTGAAAATATCATTGAGGGCAATTTTTCAGACATATGCAAGTATTTTAAAAAAAGACCGACCAACCCACAGGGAATTCGATATAGTGACGAGGTGAAGGCATTCGCGCTCACTTTACATTTTTACTCCCCTAAAGCGTATGAGTTTTTAAGAAAATATACATCTTTGCCCCATGTATCCACCATAAGGAGATCTTTGTCTTCCTTCAATTGCAATGTCGGCTTTATGACGGAAGTATTAGGTTTTTTACGAGAACAAGTCAAACTACCCGAAAAAGGGTATTTAAGAAATGTATCGCTCATTTTCGATAGCATGGCCTTAAAGCAGGATTTGGCCCATGACCCAAAATTGGACAAAGTTTTTGGGTATGTAGATTTAGGTGGAATTGCAGTGCATGACTCTGAAAAATTGGCGTCGGAAGCTCTAGTCCTTCAAATAGTTTCTTATACTAATCATTTTAAATGTCCGATTGCCTATTTTTTCACTGACAATTGTTTGCCAGGGAAATTATTGTCGGAATTGATAAAAACGGCTATAATGCTACTGCATGATGTCTCTATCACTGTACGGTCATTAACTTGTGATGGAGCTTCATCTAATGTAAAGGCGTATGAACATCTGGGCTGTTCTTTGAACGAAAAAGATTTTAGACCTTTTTTTCTGCATCCAAACGGCCACACCAATATCTACTGCTTATTAGATGCGGCGCATATGCTGAAACTAGCTCGGAATACTCTGGCAGATTTTACTTTAAAATCTGAATCTGGTGATATAAGTTTTCAGTATATTCAAAAATTACACAATTTACAAGAAAAAGAAGGTTTGAAATTTGCAAACAAATTAAGTGGCTCACATGTTGATTTTAAAAACAAGAAAATGAACGTCAGACTAGCTGCCCAAGTGATTAGCTCATCTGTTGCTGATGCGATTGATTTTTTACGAGCTAGTGGACATCCTGAATTCGCTAATAGTGAAGCAACAATTGAGTTTTTAAGAATTATTGATAGACTTTTCGATTTAATGAATTCTAAATCTCCTTTTGGTAAAAGTTATAAATCACCTTTATCAATGAAAAATAAAACTTACTGGGAACGAATTTTTACTGAAAGTGAAGTCTACCTTAAATCATTAACTATTAATGGTAAAAATATTCTAAATCATGCCAGAAAGACGTTTGCCATAGGATTTCTTATGAATATGATTAGTTTATCGCTAATGGCAACTGATTTGTGTACAATGAAATCAGATCCAATGAAGTATTTATTAACTTTCAAATGTTCCCAGGACAATTTGGAAATATTTTTTTCATGCATTAGAGCTCGCGGTCGAGCACAAGACAACCCAAGCCCATTAGAATTCAGATATATTATGCGAAAAATGTTGTTTCGCAATTCGATCCAACCTTCGCTAAATGCTAATTGTATAGATGTCGGATACGAAACGGCACATATATTAGATTTCAAAAATTCCCCAAACTTAATAAAAAGTGCAGAACAAAAAGATTCTTCGGATAATGAGGAGGAATTGATTAACCACTTAGAATCAATTAACACAACGCTATACCAAAAAAATATATTATATTATATAACAGGGTACATAGTTAAACAAATTTTAACACGCGTCTCCTGTGAATATTGCAGCAATTTCTTAGTAGCACCTAATGACACACCAAATGATCACATGTATTGTTTAAATTTAAATAAATTTCAAACATTTACTACCTTCGTAAATAGAGGCAAGTTATGTTTACCCTCAGTTGCTGCGTTTAAAGTAGTAAAACATACAGATGCTGTTTTTAGGCGAGCATCGATTATGGGCCAGCTTACAATAAATAATGTACAAAATAAATTATTAAATAACATTGTGCAATATTTCACGCCGTTGTTAGCACAAATGTTTGTTCACCCCGCTACTAATTCAATTACTTGCGCTAGTATGCACGAAATAAAAATCTTAAAACAAATTGTGAATCACTTTTTAAAGCTGCGATTTAAAACTGAATCCAAAAGCCGCTCGGAAAAACTGTTAAGCCATTTACGTGGCAAACGACAAAAATTACATAAAACTGTAATTTTTAGCCATTTATAAATCGATCGATGCGATATATACAGATTCTCCGTAAGTTTCAGAAAATCAGGATACGTGGAGACCTGCTTAGGTGGTTCGAGTCTTACCTGCGCAATCGAATTCGAGCTGTAGTTATGGGTGAACTAAGGTCTTATCTGATTATGTTACAATACCATCCGCTGTGCCTCAGGGATCGATAATCGGTTCTCTTTTGTATGTTGTATACCTCTACGATATAGTGCTTTCGATACCTACCACGTACCTACGTAGCAACAATAGTTAACATAGCTTATATTAGGGTTTATTTTAGAATTGGCATGCACCACTTTACATACTGTCGTAGTATTCTCAAGTATTGTTGTAATATTTGGAATCCACAATATATTATCTTTAAACAATTGTTTAAAGGTAATGTATTGTGGAAACATGACTTAGAATCGATACAGTGTTAAGCATCTCAACAGAAAAAGTCAAAGTCAAAATTTCTTTATTCATTTAGGTACAATTTGCACACTTATGAAAGTCAAATTTGATGCCAAAAAGAAATACCTTTACAGATTATAGGGAAGAATGTCGTTTTCATCGATTAGTCACTCTTGAGGATAGGCGCACTTTGCTTGATATGAGATTTCTATATGAGACGTTTGCAATGGGATTATCGACTACACTGATCTTGGTGGATTGGCAACATACAAATACAAAAAAAACAGATACACCAACACACACATGCAGAAACACAAACACACACACATTTATACAGGCAGACATGCTTTGCACACATCTCGCGTATGTCATAGTATGGTATGCTTCTAAGCTTTCTAAGCTTTTAAAACTTATGTATATGAAAATCCGTAACTGTAATACCTATATTTAATATAACAAATTGCTGTGGATATTGTTCTTGAAATAAATAAAGTTGAAAATAATATTATTTGTTTTCTTTATATTTTAAATATTGAACTCGATAGCGCAGTAACTAGCTCTTTAGCCGGTCATTATATGAGTGACCAAAAGTCCATAATATAATCTGCGTTACTGCGTGCTTCGGAAGGCACATTAGCGGTTGAGATGCATCATAATCGCTTAACGTGCATAATTTTAATCTGCATTCATTAGCAGTCACTATAATTATTCTTAATATTCGAACTTCAATAATTAAATTTTGCTAAGTGACATACTTTTTTAAATAAGTTTATAATATCTAGTATTGTTTTTATACAGAGTGTAAAAAAACTTATGACAAAGACTTAAACTAAGCATTCTGTACACCCAAACAAGTCATATTACAAAATATTATACGTGGGATTTTTTTTTATTTTTAAGTTAAAAAAAATATATTTTTTTCCAGTACGTAATGTATAGCGCGGCGCGCTACTGTGGCGCTACGCAAAGAATGTGTATGTGTGTGCGTATGTGTAAGTGCGTCGATAAAAAAGTTTCTAAATAACGTTTTGAAAATATTAATGTATATATCTTGAAAAAAATATTTTGGCTTTGACCTTCAATATCTCCATAACCATAAATTTCCCAGGTATGGTCCAGAAGAAAAAAATGATCGTCCTGATGTGGTAAATACCTGGCCTTCAACTTCGTAATCGGTTTTTTTACACCCTGTATACAAGGTGTCGTTTTTTACCGGCCCAGAGCTCGGGCCCAGAACACCGGTAGTAGTTCATAAAGTTTCCTTCTACTTTCATGAATGCTAGGCGTGGTATTCAGGCGTCGTGGCCGACTAACTGAAACTTCATCACTACTTAGTACACATATGGTTTTGGTAACAAAGACATTATTAAATTCTTTACAATAAATATGAAGACAATATACAAATCATTTGGAATGTCTTTATGCATTAGTAACTACGGTCTATCCAAGTGAAATTTAATAAAAACATTATAGGAATAAAATGGATGGAATTTTCACTGGATGCGGAAAGCGCAGGACCGTAGTGTGTGAAAATCCACAGAGGAAACATAATGGGAATGAGCAACTCGCAATCTTTAATCATTGGCAACTCGTGATAATACAACACAGATTACTAATATGTAGCAAGCTAATACAAGGTGCGCAATATCAACACCATTGCGCACTTTGTCCTGTACACAAGTTCCGACCGACATGGTCACCTTATAGAAAGAGACAAGAAACATACGTGACGTCATTCAAGGTCATATTTTTTTGCTTCAAGGTACTACTTGTAAGTAATCCCTCCACCTTTTATACACCTTCATGGTACAAACCACTCGGCCACGGAGGTCGTCAAAAAACAATAGTAAAATAACTAGCAAACCAGTGAACCAAATGTTCACCAAAACCTGATTTCTTGAAAACCGGAAGTGCTACGTTACTCAAATCCGGTTTGTAGTTTTATCAGACTATTCTTAACTTATAACTTAAATATTCTCTTTATCTATCTCTTACGGTTTGGCCGCTGAAACAGCACCACAGACGGACGGACGGACTTGTCTAAGAGATAAGAGATAATAGTTTTATAGTAGGTATAGAATTTATTTTCTCTCTTTTTAGATAACTTTTGTCAATTTCATGCGAGTGACGATCAGTTCATTCACTATGGCCCGTATTATAGAAAGACTCTCAGTGATTGATCTAGTCTTGAGCATAGTTAGAAAGGAATGTCGCTATATATAGCACATAGCGACATCCCTTTCTAACTGTACTCAAGTAAAGATCAACACTTAGTTGTCATTCTGTAATATAGGCCTATGTGTATGAGACACAAATACTAACCTCTTCCTCTTCATCGTCGTCGTCGACATATGTGGTGGCAGCCTTCTTCTTCTTCTTGCTGACGGGGGGTGGGGGGGATGGTTCCTTCTTCTTCCGGCCTCGTTTGCCGCGCACCGGCTCCGGCTCCAGTTCGGGCTCGTCGGATTTGTCCTTCTTCTACGCAATATGGAAATGATCATGGAATTATAATGACGAATTTATAAGAGACTAGCTGCCCGTAATCGCTTCGCTTCGGTGTAGACTACAGTTTTTGTTCTCCGGCTTGTATTATACACAATGACATTCATCTATGATTCTTCTTATACCTGCATGCAAAGTCTCAGCCCAAACGGTTTAAAATTGACAAAGTTTCATACAAACTTTCATTCCCTATTTTATCCCCTTGGCGGTAGAATTGATCAAAATCCTTTCTTAGCGAAAATACATTGCCAGGGCAGTCGCTCATACAAAACTTTACCATGTCCTTTATGTCACTGAAGGAAAATCGTGAATATTCAATTAAATTTTTGGTGATTATGGCTGCGTCTCATTACGTGACGATTCTGCCAATCTCTGGGTTTAAGGAGACAAGGTATATGTTGAGCCTGTACGGTTTTGTTGATGTTGTTATGTGGTAATATTATTCTTACGTGGCTACTACTCGCGTTGCATACACCCATTCCATTTCCAACCACTTAGAGCTAGCTATAAATCGCTCGCAAACGTTCCAGATAGGTTTTCAGCAATTAAATACTTAAATAATATCGTACCTTAGGATACTTCCACATCTTGAAAGGATTAGCAGCGATCTTGTTGAGGCGCACGGTGATGGCCTCCTTGGCTTCAAGCTTGGTTTGTTCCGAGATGTGTAGCACGATGTTGTCGAACGCTAGCCCAGGCGATATGCCGTATCTATGGGATCATACTTGAAGTTGACATTTTTGATGTGAAAGAAAAGAAGAAAGAAAGAAAGAAATTTTATTAACCATAAATAAACTAATATTAACAGTATTGTTAACCTAAATAAAAACAATAAAATAAATATATTTTTTGGTCAACTAGGTCCCTGCCTCAGCTTGATACTACAGCAACACCAGGGCTGCTGCAGCGCTGGTGATTCTGGCAGGGCCTAAGGTTGATGACACAGATGAGACATTATTATACAACTATACCAATGTGCACTTAAAAAAAGATAATAACAAATTAGGCTGAATGTTTTTACAATCCTTAGCTTTACAGAAAAAGTACAAAAAATTTAAAAGAAAAAATAAAAAAATAATGATTTATGTATTATGTGTAACATCTTTCCTCTCGCTTTCGTGCAATTTGTGGGAGTGATTACGTGAAGTGGGACGGAAGTGTGTAACGGGAAGTTTGGGAAGCGCGCAGTATTTGATTTTAGAACATAATGTTCAAATGGCTTGTTCCTTTTGTAGTAGGTTGTATTTCTTTTTTTACTAATATGGGGTGAGGTTTCAAATGTTACACATCATACGCGACTATTGTAAGGCTCGCTCGTTTTTTATTTGATAAAGGCACATAACCCGCCTGGTGGTAAGTGGCTATGTAATGTTGAAATCCCATCCAAGTTTCCTACTTTCTTTCCTACCCTACTCTTACACATATAATAAATGCGAAAGTTTGTATGGATTTTTGTTATTCTTTCACGCTAAAATGGCTGTAGTAACTATATGTAAATTTGGGATTAAAATCCTACAGGAACCTGACATTTTTCGGGAGAAAAAATAATCTTGTCTTAGTCCCGGTTATAAACTATATGCGTGCCAAATTTCATTCACATCCGTTAAGTAGTTTTTGGTTCATTAAGTAAAAAATATTCAAACTTTTAACATTTCTAATATTAGTAGAATAAAACATGAAAATAATTAGTTTTCTGAGATTCACGTAGACATAAGAACGTCACAATCAATAGATGGAGACGCATGGAGCGCGATGGCGCGGGTGGTTAGTGCGTTCGGTTGCGATCGTTGAAGTTAAGCAACTTTCGCAGTGGTCAGTCATTTGATGGGTGGCCAAAAATCTTCGGAAGGCACGTTAAGCTGTTGGTCTCGGCTGCATCTGCAGCCGTTAGCAACCGCCAATACTAGGCCCGCGTGGTGGGTCATGGTCCAATCTCATTATTCCATCCCCAGGGAAGGCCTGTGCCCCAGTAGTGGGGAAATTAATAGGCTGATGATGAATCAATAGATGCCTGAATTTCTTACTAAAACTCACTTTTCCCTCCACACTAGCTCATCCAAGAACTGTTGGATAATCTGCCTGGAGAGTAGCGACAGCGTATTCTGGAACATTCTGGGCACGATGCGTCGGAGATACTCCATGATATTGGCGTTGCTGTTTCTCGACGGCTGGTCGGAATGGGACGAGGATTGGTGCACGTGCTTGAAACCCATGGACACTAGAGTGCCTTTGTCTACGGTCAGGTCAGTCAGTATCACAGAGCTGGAGTGCACCCATCCCGTGAGCGGTTCTAGAATCTTCTGGAAACGCTTCTTGTAGTTCTTCTCGTGCTCCGCTAAAGGTTCCACGGCTCTGAGACGTATCTGTTTATGTAGGGAGGAATGCTAGTTAATTACTTAATAATAGATTATACCGAGAGAAGAAAAAATATTTTTTAAGTTTTTGACAAAAGTTAATGACGTCATGATCTTGGCAATCCAAATAGAAAGAGACTCGGAACCAGCTGATTCGGGCGAAATATCGAAATTGAGATAGCATATGAGTTTTATTATATTTCCTATATGAATCCCGTAAGATTGAAGGAAGGAAACATAAAACTTATTTTGTAATTATTATTTAAGATTGTTTTATTGGCTGGTGATTGGTTGAAGTTATCGTATATTTCACACATGAACACATCTAGTATTCCAAAGTAAATACAAAATAATGTGTAATACATTACGTAATCATTTCTGTTCACTATCCTAAAATAAAATAAACATAGGTTAATAAAGTTTGACAAATGAATCAATCCCTAAGAAATATGGAACTCACCAATTTCTCGACAGGGTCCAGAATTCCCAGCACCTCCACTTTCACTTGTCTCTGCGTGCCGTCGTGGCTGGTGGTGCCCAAGGAGATCACCCCAACTTCAATCTTCTTCCCCGGACCTCCCAGTAGCCCCATATGCTGATGGATGGCCGAAGTACAAACCGCTCGAAGCCACGTGAATAGGCCCTATCAAGTATATGTATCATTATTAGGGTATATGGTGATCCCTAAGAAGATCACTTTCACTGCCATTATTTCCCCTAGTCTCCCGAGTAGACCCTGTTGCTGATGCAAGGCATATGTGCAAGCCCTTTTTTTATGTGTATGCTGTTGGTCGCTGATGATCTTAACAGCTTCACCGGGTTTAGTGACGGCAAGATCCTAATTCGAGAATTGGCGAGTGCCTCTAGAGGTATTCCAGGCGGTTGGCATCTGAAAAATGCCCAGGTACGTCTATCTGTATAGCGTGTCCTGTGTAGACCGGGTCTTTGCACTCTTATCCTACGGGTGCGGTGTCTGCTTAATGCTAAGCTAGTGTGCAAGTTTGCTAGCTGTGTAGTGTTGGTGTTTGTGGCCTGTGTGGGAGGAGTCGGTGGCTGGATGGCAGACGTGTCAGCCGCTTAAAGCCACATGAAGAGATCCTATCAAGTAATTATGTATTATTATCAGAGTATGCGGTGGTGGCCAAGGATATAACTCTCATTTCAATCTTCTCGCACGGCCCAATATGGATTGGTAGGTGCTAATGGCTGCAGATGCTAGCGGGACCAACAATTTAACGTCTTCCTAAGCACGGAAGACGTTAAACTTGAGATTATGTGTACATATTTAGTTTTATACAAATTCCCCAGAAAGCAACGTAAATGGGATTCACACATTTGTGCGATTATCTGCTGACTCCGATTTATCTGCCCGAAGAGGCTACATATTTTTTTTTAGCTTGATAAAGGCTTGTCGAATATTTTCGAACCTTAAAATCATCAATGCAGTTTAGGTTTACAAGCACTTATCGTAAAACTAGGATATCAGTTCGTAAAAAGGAATCTGAGGGAGTTATCTGACCCACTGGCCATCTACAACGACCACACACGATGACGAAGAGGTTATCGACCTTGACCCACTGCACCACGATCTACACGTTGGTCTGGCAGGCCCAGTGGTAGATCAGCTTGAGGATGAGTCTGGACGGGAGGTGGTGATCTGACCCACTGGCCACTTACAACGATGCACTCACCTTGACGTAGAGGTTGTCGACCTTGACCCACTGCACCACGTTCTGCACGTTGGTCTGGCAGGCCCTGTGGTAGATCACCTTGAGGATGACGCTGGGCGGGAGGAGGTGATCTGACCCACTAGCCACCTACAACGATGCACTCACCTTGACGTAGAGGTTGTCGACCTTGACCCACTGCACCACGATCTACACGTTGGTCTGGCAGGCCCAGTGGTAGATCAGCTTGAGGATGAGTCTGGACGGGAGGTGGTGATCTGACCCACTGGCCACTTACAACGATGCACTCACCTTGACGTAGAGGTTGTCGACCTTGACCCACTGCACCACGTTCTGCACGTTGGTCTGGCAGGCCCTGTGGTAGATCACCTTGAGGATGACGCTGGGCGGGAGGAGGTGATCTGACCCACTAGCCACCTACAACGATGCACTCACCTTGACGTAGAGGTTGTCGACCTTGACCCACTGCACCACGTTCTGCACGTTGGTCTGGCAGGCCCAGTGGTAGATCAGCTTGAGGATGACGCTGGGCGGGAGGAGGTGATCTGACCCACTAGCCACCTACAACGATGCACTCACCTTGACGTAGAGGTTGTCGACCTTGACCCACTGCACCACGTTCTGCACGTTGGTCTGGCAGGCCCAGTGGTAGATCAGCTTGAGGATGACGCTGGGCGGGAGGTGGTGATCTGACCCACTAGCCACCTACAACGATGCACTCACCTTGACGTAGAGGTTGTCGACCTTGACCCACTGCACCACGTTCTGCACGTTGGTCTGGCAGGCCCAGTGGTAGATCAGCTTGAGGATGACGCTGGGCGGGAGGAGGTGATCTGACCCACTAGCCACCTACAACGATGCACTCACCTTGACGTAGAGGTTGTCGACCTTGACCCACTGCACCACGTTCTGCACGTTGGTCTGGCAGGCCCAGTGGTAGATCAGCTTGAGGATGACGCTGGGCGGGAGGAGGTGATCTGACCCACTAGCCACCTACAACGATGCACTCACCTTGACGTAGAGGTTGTCGACCTTGACCCACTGCACCACGTTCTGCACGTTGGTCTGGCAGGCCCAGTGGTAGATCAGCTTGAGGATGACGCTGGGCGGGAGGTGGTGATCTGACCCACTAGCCACCTACAACGATGCACTCACCTTGACGTAGAGGTTGTCGACCTTGACCCACTGCACCACGTTCTGCACGTTGGTCTGGCAGGCCCAGTGGTAGATCAGCTTGAGGATGACGCTGGGCGGGAGGTGGTGATCTGACCCACTAGCCACCTACAACGATGCACTCACCTTGACGTAGAGGTTGTCGACCTTGACCCACTGCACCACGTTCTGCACGTTGGTCTGGCAGGCCCAGTGGTAGATCAGCTTGAGGATGACGCTGGGCGGGAGGAGGTGATCTGACCCACTAGCCACCTACAACGATGCACTCACCTTGACGTAGAGGTTGTCGACCTTGACCCACTGCACCACGTTCTGCACGTTGGTCTGGCAGGCCCAGTGGTAGATCAGCTTGAGGATGACGCTGGGCGGGAGGAGGTGATCTGACCCACTAGCCACCTACAACGATGCACTCACCTTGACGTAGAGGTTATCGACCTTGACCCACTGCACCACGTTCTGCACGTTGGTCTGGCAGGCCCAGTGGTAGATCAGCTTGAGGATGACGCTGGGCGGGAGGTGGTGATCTGACCCACTAGCCACCTACAACGATGCACTCACCTTGACGTAGAGGTTGTCGACCTTGACCCACTGCACCACGTTCTGCACGTTGGTCTGGCAGGCCCAGTGGTAGATCAGCTTGAGGATGACGCTGGGCGGGAGGTGGTGATCTGACCCACTAGCCACCTACAACGATGCACTCACCTTGACGTAGAGGTTGTCGACCTTGACCCACTGCACCACGTTCTGCACGTTGGTCTGGCAGGCCCAGTGGTAGATCAGCTTGAGGATGACGCTGGGCGGGAGGTGGTGATCTGACCCACTAGCCACCTACAACGATGCACTCACCTTGACGTAGAGGTTGTCGACCTTGACCCACTGCACCACGTTCTGCACGTTGGTCTGGCAGGCCCAGTGGTAGATCAGCTTGAGGATGACACTGGGCGGGAAGGTGGCGCCCTCAAACACGGAGGAACAGAACACGGACACGAACCGCGTGGGGCAGCACTCCGAGATCCACACGTACCCACCCGAGTACGGGAACTTCGACACGTCCGAGTACATGCCTGAATATTAACTCGTATTAAATCCACTGCCTCAATCCAGGTAATAAATTATAGCTGCACCTTCTTACAGTTTCCGCTATTCTGGTCAGTTTAAACCCTGTCGCTAGTCGCTGATGGCTAGACCGAGTAGATGTTTTTCTAGTAAAAAATGCTAGATTAAGCTTCAATATCCTAGATTTCTATTTTTATCCTAGATTAGATGAGGAGCTCGATGGCGCAGGTGGCTAGCGCCTTCGGCTGCGATCCTTGAAGTTAAACAACTTTCGCAATGGTCGGTCATTGGATGGTGGACAAAAATCTATCTCGAGTTCGGAAGGCACGTTAAGCCGTCGGTTCCGGCTGCGTCTGCAGTCGTTAGCACCCACAATCTCCCTATTCCATCCATAGGGAAGGCTTGTGCCCCAGCAGTGGGGACATTAATAGGTTGATGATGATTTCTATATCTAATGAATATTTTACTAGACCAAAATCCTATTTATTTTATATTATATATATATATATATGCACCTAGTTATAGTTTTTGCTCTATTGCTATCTAAGCCCTAATATATTGGATTTCTATTTGTAATGAAAATTTTGCTGAAACGAAAACACTCAGTCTAGCCATTAGACAGGATTCGATCATGCCTGGATAGCGAAAAGTGTAGGAAGGCTGGTACGCATATAATTTAATCCCTGGATTGAAACAGAGAATACCTTTTATCCCGAAAAAATGTTATCGGGTCCTTAGACGATCAAAATTGCTTGACAAGAACGTGAATTTTAAATTCATGTCAAGCAATGTTAACGGTTAGTTAGAACAAAGTTTGATGAGCTTGACAAGTCAACTAAGTGATTGACAATATTTGATGAAATGTAATCTTTTTGCAATTCTTGTCAAGCATGCTTGACAAGAATAGAAGACTCCTTCTTGTCTAGAAGGAGTCATGTGGGATTCTCAAAAAAATAAGTATAACGCAGACAGAAGAAGGTTCTCTTCTATCTATGTTATTAAATAAAACAAGTTTCAACAGTTTAAATGCACCGATTTTGGAGTTTACTCCTTAAGAATCGATTTGCATATATAAGGGGCCCGGTATGAGAAAAATGTGAGGAGTAAAATCTACTGAACAAATGACCTCGTTACGTTTCTGTGCGCAACCTAATCTGGGCACCTTTCACTTTTAGCCAGGCAACGGATAAAAAACATTAAGTTGTCACAAATTTCAATAAAATAAATAAACTAAAAATAGATAAAATCGGAGCAAAATTAATGAAAACAAATAAATAACAGAATATAGAGAAATGCCGGTAAGTGTCCAGCACTCTGGAATAGTGATTTTCAGTACAGATGAAATTATAATACATATTTACAAAATGATGACTAGTGTGTGATATTTTTGAAATTGTGTGTTTCCAGAAATACATAATAAAATATATGATGAATATCGATAATGTTAGATGATAAAATGTGTGACATGGAACCAATGATAGTCGAAACCATGGGACGATTCCTGAGGTATCTCTATTTGTAACCGACTTCTTCGGACTGGATTTTGTTTTGTGTCTGTTCAAAGACAATCGTTTTTAGAGTGTAAACTCCGGTCGTGCGTCGGAGCTGACACACACAATTTTTTTTATTTATTTAATGACGTTTCGCATCCTTCGCAGGAATGCGTCGTAGGAATAATTATAGTAAGGAAAGGAAAGGATGTGAAACGTAAATAAATAAATAAAATCAGTGCATCTAACCCATTGAAACTTGTTGTCAGAAATCAGAAATCAATAGTTTGTGTTGTGTTTATTTAATTAGTGATTAGCGTGAAAACCTAAGTAAGAAATATCTATGTTACTGTTAAATTTTATGTTTATACGTCCACCACTCATTATATACATAACAGGTTTAAAATGTGTTTCTTATACTTTTACATGTCCGAGTAACATACCTGAATATTAGTGATGCGAAACGTAAATGTAAAAAAGTATTTAAAAAACGTATTTTAAATGCGTTGAAGAGTAGTTTTATTTAATTTGTACTAATACTGGCCTACAAAACTAGGCACCACACTTTTAGAATGTAAAAATCTTTTAAGTACACAATATTTTCGACGGCGCACCACTGCTCGGACCGCACCAGCCCCTGCTGGATGAGTCACTCCGTGACCTATATGTGTGTATGCCACTATATGAATGTATGCCACTATATGTATGTATGTCACTATATGTATGTATGTCACTATATATATGTATGTCACTATATGTATGGTAGTGAGGCACCTAGTTTGAGCTTGTTGCCGGCGTGCACGGCGCACCACTGCTCGGACCGCACCAGCCCCTGCTGGATGAGCCACTCCGTGAACTATATGTGTGTATGTCACTATATGTATGTATGTCACTATATGTATGTATGTCACTATATGTATGCCAGTGAGGCACCTAGTTTGAGCTTGTTGCCGGCGTGCACGGCGCACCACTGCTCGGACCGCACCAGCCCCTGCTGGATGAGCCACTCCGTGAACTATATGTGTGCCACTATATGTATGTATGTCACTATATGTATGTATGTCACTATATGTATGCCAGTGAGGCACCTAGTTTGAGCTTGTTGCCGGCGTGCACGGCGCACCACTGCTCGGACCGCACCAGCCCCTGCTGGATGAGCCACTCCGTGAACTATATGTGTGCCACTATATGTATGTATGTCACTATATGTATGCCAGTGAGGCACCTAGTTTGAGCTTGTTGCCGGCGTGCACGGCGCACCACTGCTCGGAACGCACCAGCCCCTGCTGGATGAGCCACTCCGTGAACTATATGTGTGTATGTCACTATATGTATGTATGTCACTATATGTATGTATGTCACTATATGTATGCCAGTGAGGCACCTAGTTTGAGCTTGTTGCCGGCGTGCACGGCGCACCACTGCTCGGAACGCACCAGCCCCTGCTGGATGAGCCACTCCGAGAACTATATGTGTGTATGTCACTATATGTATGTATGTCACTATATGTATGTATGTCACTATATGTATGCCAGTGAGGCACCTAGTTTGAGCTTGTTGCCGGCGTGCACGGCGCACCACTGCTCGGAACGCACCAGCCCCTGCTGGATGAGCCACTCCGTGAACTATATGTGTGCCACTATATGTATGTATGTCACTATATGTATGTATGTCACTATATGTATGCCAGTGAGGCACCTAGTTTGAGCTTGTTGCCGGCGTGCACGGCGCACCACTGCTCGGACCGCACCAGCCTCTGCTGGATGAGCCACTCCGTGAACTATATGTGTGCCACTATATGTATGTATGTCACTATATGTATGTATGTCACTATATGTATGCCAGTGAGGCACCTAGTTTGAGCTTGTTGCCGGCGTGCACGGCGCACCACTGCTCGGACCGCACCAGCCCCTGCTGGATGAGCCACTCCGTGAACTATATGTGTGCCACTATATGTATGTATGTCACTATATGTATGTATGTCACTATATGTATGCCAGTGAGGCACCTAGTTTGAGCTTGTTGCCGGCGTGCACGGCGCACCACTGCTCGGACCGCACCAGCCCCTGCTGGATGAGCCACTCCGTGAACTTCATTGGTGTGTGCATCAGGACAGACTTCACCTGGCGACAACAATACCTTCCATGTAATCTTGATTATATAATACTTACGGCCGTACCCACAAAAAGTCAAATATATTTGGTGTAAACAAAAATTTTTTTCGAACCAACATACATCCATATCATGTTTAGGTATAGGTACCAGCAAATATGATAAGCAAAACCACATACAAATGAACTTGCGCAGTAGACGCTTTTGCGTGTATACTTGCTACTGTGCAGGCTTCTATAGTTTGTAAGTCGCGGCACGAAACTCTAGCTTGGTTGGACCGTTATTGCGCAAAAGTAAAGATAAGATGTTCTGGGGACAAGGTCGGTGCGCGGCGTGCCCTGCGCGGATTGTCTCTCCACTCGTACCCCCCGACATGCGCATGCGCAGATATCCCCCCAGCGTAAAGTTCAGCGATAGAGTTACGTGTCGCGACATGTAACAGGGTGTATACATAAGTACTTTTTATTTAGTGTTAGTATCGACACGGATATTAAATTATTTAGGAACTAAGTTTGTGCCTGTTATACAGTTTCGGACACAATAAGCTATATATAATAGGGGAATCATATCAGCTCCCCATAAAGTGCGAAATGGAGTTGGAGCGGACCTGCACCTTGCAGAGCAGCGAAGCAGCTGTTTTCTGCATGATGGCAATAATAAAAATATGAATATCCGCTAACATGCGTAATACAGAAACTGGGCAGCCCCAACAACACTTAGAGCATTATCACACTAATATTATAAATGCGAAAGTTTGTGAGTGTGTGAGTGTGTATGTTTGTTACTTCTTCACGTCTAAACGGCTGGAGCGATTTTAATAAAATTTCGTATGGAGATAGCTGACCCCTTAGATTCACACATAGGCTACTTTTATCCCGAAAAATGTTAGGTTCCATAGGGATTTTCAGGAAACTAAGTCAACGCAGACGAAGTAGCGGGCGACCTCTAGTTGTATATAAAATAATATTTATTTGTTATCTTCATATATACAATCTGATTATACTGTTACAATACAAGCATACTGAGGGAAAGCTGCGTATGGTTGGTCCAGAGGTTGCAGGTGTAGAACACTTGACAGTAAGCTGGAAATAGTTTTACTCTTCTGGAGTCCTACAAAATTTAACTTATTATTGGGCATGCAAACCTAAAATCTACTAAAACCAGCATGTTACAACGCACCGCCCGTCAGTGCTATGAGCTCACTCTCATGTATGTTTTATTACATTTTTAGTCCAGCTAGGACTGATTGATTTTCATGTCTAAAGTTACAAGACAGCGGGTGTATTCCGAAATATACACCAGTACGCTGGCCAGCGGTAATGACGTCATCATTTCGACGCCATATTGCACTGGTGTGCCGCCATATTATGCTGGTGAGAATACTGTGATGTAATTATTTATTAGCCGGGTGTAAACGCTCTGCAGTTACTCATGTAGAATAGTATTAAATAACTGTTTATTTCTTAAATTATTTGGTTTAAGGGACCTAAATATATCGATTTCACTTCATAAAAGCAGAAGATTGCTGTAGAAATTTAATTTTAAAAAATATTTTTAGTCTATACTTTTTAAACACTAAAAACGCTGATCGCCACATCCGCCATGATTGTGACGTCTCTTTGGTAGTAAAGAACTAAATGCCGTTCATACATAACCTGAAAACTTGTATTATTAAAACTGATAATAAATGAAGAGACTTTAAATATTATTCAATGAGTACTTACGTCAAAGTGATCTTATCAAAAAAAAAATTTACTATAAGTCGATAAAGTTGCAGGATCCCTTTTAGCAAGTTCTAACCAGGCATTGCGTAGGTTAATTTCTTTCGGCACTTTAATCCACAACTTTCCTGGAGTCTTCAAGGATGCGTTTTTACATTCTCGTACAATAAAATAATGATAATTACTATATTTTTAGTGGTATGTATTAGAAATTATGTTTTTTTATTATAAACTCAGATAGGTTATTTTCTACGTGCTTACGAGTTTTTGTTTACTACCGGTTGACGTCATAGCATAGATAATCTATAGACTAAAATGGCCGACAGTGTTTTTGTATGTCCATGAAAAGTCTATTTTAAAATTAAAGATTTGTAGCTTTCTAGGGCTCAAAAAAATACAATACATTTCTTTCGGTCTAATAGAACATTTATTAACCATTTAAAACCTTTTTCCAAAAAGGGTCAACTAGCCTATGGATTATATTGGAATCTCAACAAACAGAAAATATTTATAATAAACTAGCAAAACCAGCGAACTCCGTTTCGCCACCAGATCGTTTTATGTAACATTTCGTTTTGTGATTAAAAGAAAACGATTTTTTTTTATTTTTTCCTGAATTTTCTTTGCTATAAACCTCACGGAGCCGGAGACCTTTCCAACGAATGCAAAACCGTGGAAATCGGTTCGTGCGTTCTGGAGTTATAGCGTCAGGAAGGAAAACCCGACTTATTTTTATATAGTAGATTTATTATAATTTTTGGAGCATAAACGTTGCACACAAACACGAGACTGCTTGAATATAGCGCCAGTTCATGACGTCACCGCGCTGATCAGTGTGTATTTGGAACGAATTAACAGCATGGCGTCGATTCATGACGTCATTACCGCTGGCTTGCGTACCGGTGTATATTTCGGAATACACCCAGTATATTATAGAAACATACCTTGCTGTCGAGCGCCGAGCGGTCGGAAGGCGGCGGCGCCTCTTTGGAGCGGAGGTAGGGCCGCGCCACTACTACCAGCGAAGGGAATGTTTTGCCTGAAACAATCATACCCATAATGTAATGACTCGTATAAACATACCAGGCAAACATCCAAAAAGATAGATTACAGAATATTTATAAACATAAATAGTGGGAAAAAAACATGGTTGTTACATGTCTTAGATGTACAGCCGAATTTACATTATGAAATCAGTGTCCTAAAAGTAACAATTTCATGTTCGACGTCATAACTAGGTATCTGTAACAGTATTTTATTTGATAAAAGCAAAAATACAAACCTTGCAATTTATTGAATGACACTTCTCGTGAATCTGCCACATTTTTGTTGCCATCTTCCTTGGTTAGGTCGACAATGGCAGTGGTCTTCGTGGCACTGCCAGTGAGCAGACCACCTATAGCCGAGGCTTCTGAAGGACGAACATTCGTCACTACACTGTGTACATCTGCAAGGAATAATGTCATTTATTTATAAATAAAATATACAAATGCAGCAGTATAAAAAGGAATATAAAATGAAATATGGGCTATATTCTTCTGTATATAGCAAGATGTGGTAAAATTTTACGAGCTTGCATTTTGTACTATCATAACTCTTTGAGGAGCTCGATGGCGCAAGTGGTTAGCGCGTTCGGCTGCGATCGTTGAAGTTAAGCAACTTCCGCAGTGGTCGGTCAATGGATGGGTGACCAAAAATTTAATAACATGAGCTCCTCCGTGCTTCGGAAGGCACGTTAAGCCGTTGGTCCCGGCTGCATCTGCAGTCGTTAGCACCCACCAATCCGCACTGGGCCCGCGTGGTGGGTCATGGCCCAATCTCCCTATTCCATCCATAGGGAAGGCCTGTGCCCCAGCAGTGGGGACATTAATAGGCTGATGATGATGATGATGATGATAACTCTTTGACGCATATGTTTTAATTAAGACCTTATACAATATGCATTAAAGGTGACTTTCAATATTTAAATTTTTAACCATGCAATCATCATCAGTTTTACTTACTAGACGGTGCTAATGTTTTATCTTTAGTCTTAGTATCTTTGTCCTTTTCCTTTTCTTTTTCCTTCTCCTTTTCTTTCTCTTTATTTTTTTCTTTATCTTTCTTCTTCTTCTTATGTCTTAGCTCAGGTGACTTTGCTTTTTCTGGAGATGGAGAATAATTTCTGTCTTCCTCACGATTTTTCCTTGGTCTTCCTATGTTAAAAATTTAAAATACGTTATCAAATCTAATTAAATGTTTAAAAAATTGAATTTATATTAAGATTTAAAAGATGGTATTAATAATAACTAGGATCATATACCTCGTTTTCCTATTGGTTTTTCTTTGGAAACTGAAAGTGAACGAGATCTTGATCGTATAATTTCAGCACTTTGCCTCTCCAGGTCCTTCAAAACTGGCTGTCTAAAAAGTAATTAATAAAAATAAAATCAATAGCATCCCTCCAATAGTTCAAAAACAAATAGATAATTTAGTTTGAAAGCTGCCAATGAATCAGTAATAGAACAGTATCTTAGGTGTGTTCCTCTGAAGCTATATCTTATATATAAAATTCTCGTGTCACAATGTTAGTTACCATACTCCTCCGAAACAGCCTCAACAATTTTTATGAAATTTTATATGCATATTCCGTGGATCTGAGAATCGGCTACTATCTATTTTTCATATCCTTAAGTGATAATGGTTACTATGACGCTACCGATGACATAGTGTTCTGAAACCTACTATGAGCCTTCACACCAAAATTCTAACTACTGGGTATTGTAACGTAGTGTTCTCATATGGGTTAGGAGGAATGTTATCCCAGGAAATTGATAAAACACCATGTTACACACCCCTAATTTTTATTTTTAATGTGCTATTAAAAAGTACATACAGCCCTAAATTTTCTCTTCTACCACCTGCCCCTATTTTTATGGTGGTATGAAGTTTGCTGGGTCAGGTAGTCTATTATGTACCATGCAAATATCAAAATTCAAAACAGGGTCATGAACCATGACCATAAGCTGTCAGAGGATAAAAAAAACACATAAATTAAGTATTAGGTTTTTTGATCCAGATACTTCTTTTGCTAAAACTATGGTTCTGCAAAATAAGAGCCTGCACAGCTTTATGTTAATACTTTTTGTTTCATGCCTGTTACTCCTCCCTGCCATACAACTGGACCAAATGAGAGTGGCTTGGTAAATTAGACAGTATACTCTCACTGACACACATTTTGAAAACTGAGATCCCCTAGAATATGTTTCTACAGATGGGTATGTCATGGCACCCAGTTATAACTGGCAATGTACCCACTGGTGATAAAATCATAGAGGTATAAGTATAGAGTAGGGGAGATATGTACTCTACTACTAGTGGAAGTGTCCGTCTAGTAGAAAGAGAAAGAAGATGAGGGAAGGCTAGCTATCTCTCTCTATTGTGATGCTGCGCAGTCATGTGATTGGTCAGTATTGCTGCGCAGTTGTGGTATTCATCCGTAGGTTTTTCATCAAATGCGCATTCGCGATTAGAGAGAAAGGCTAGACGTCTTTCATCTTCTTTCTATTTCTACTAGACGGACACTTTTAGAGCCGCCTTCCCCAATCTATTCTTATACCTCTATGGATAAAATACTATTCATGTTATAATTCTTTTAATGTTCTAGAACTGGTAAATTTTACTTACATATATAACGTAATAACTTTACTATAATCACTTACTTTCCCAGTAATTGATAAGCTGTAAATTGATCTCCATTGTACACAATTTCGCCACCAGTGCTTTTCACCATATCATCAAGTTTATTTTGAATACTTTTGTACTCATCGTCGGCGTTCTTATAAGCTTGGAGTTGAGCTTCGGATAATTCTTCTTCCCAACACTCAAGTTCCAAAGTCGGCACATCAGGACCAAAGTATGAGCGTTTGTACAAGTCCGCCTCAATGATTTCCGCCTGAGGAGGAATCACCTCCTGAAATTGATATAAATAAGAAATTATCTAGTGTAAAAGTCATTTATTAACGCAATTAAATAAAGTATTTGATATTGTAACAACTAACCTCGGTATCTGATTTCGGCTTCTTTAGTTTCATGTTGAACACTTTACAAATATGAACATAATTTGATCAACTGCAGCACAATTCAGTAAATAATCAAGCAGGAACGTAGTCAATTAATAGTTATTGTTTGATAAAATATTGATAAAATTAAAAATGTCAACAGAAGGCGTCGTCGCACGCCATTGACATAAACAAAGTCGGCCACAGATAAAGTTGGACTTTCAGTAGGCGTCACAGACACTACACATTGAAAAGAATCAGCACGAAATGGGACGAGAAAGAGAAGTCGTACGGAGACCATTTGTCGCTTTCTAAAAGGTTGACCATATCTTTTGGAAATTCATTCCTCAAATTATATAAATTTTAATAATTTTTAATTTAATTTTAATATAAATTAAAATACACATACCAGTGCAAACTATAATGTTGTCAAATTTAAGTTTAGGTTTAGAAATTCATGCCAAAATCGATACCACTGTAAATGTCAAAAAAGTTAGCGAATAAGCCAGCTAGTCCCAGTCAAAAATTAATATTTTTCCACTTAGGTATCTATACTGATCAATTTAAAGTGGACGGACCATAGGGCTCTCACACAAAACTGCGTTGCGATGTGACGTCGTCTCGCAGGAAATTGCGATGCGATGTTGTGCGGCAAAGATTTGGTTAAGGTGACCATACCATCAACGGTAGTCAGTCGTGTTGGACGTGTTATAGTATTATTGTCATGAATTGATCGAAAGATTGTTGCTTTAATTTTATATAAGTAGAAGAAAAATAAGAGTTTGGGTTTATCCATTTATTACTATTATGAACGCTGATGGGAGCTATTTGAGTAGAAAATACTATGGTTTGAGAACAGATGATTTTTTTAAATTATTATTTTAGAATAAACATATCTTCATTTGATTCTTTTTTGTTTTTTTATCACCATGTCTACAAAAATTGTCGTACAAGGGAAGTCTCAGAGCGGACTGAAATGGTGTCATCAAGTGTGATGTAATATCGAGGTGGGCTCCGCCACCCGCGCCGCCTGTGGTGGGTCGGTAATGAAGCAAACACGCCGAGCGCGAACCAATATATAATTCGTATCGTTTGCGAGTCCGAAATGTCATTGCCAAATGTGTACTGATTTTTAGTTCTCGTTACCTACTTCGTGCCGCTGTACGTTGTGCCGCTACTGTTCAAGTTTCCGGATACAAAATTTTACATTGACATTTCGGTTTGTAATTTTATTCGAATTCGATAATGGTTCGTGCTAGGAATACTGCTCAGTGGCCCGCTTAACGGATGCGTAAACATTTAATAGTCTGTGATGAGTCTAATAAAATAAAAGAATGAAAAATACTAAAAGTCTGCCTGTATGGACTTAGTTGCCATTACCTTTGAAATTGGAGAAATTATACAAAAAAATGTAGTTTATGGTATGTACGTATGTACAGGCAGCCAAAAAGAATTATTAATTATTCTACATCGATTATAACCTTTATGCCTTTTGAAATACAGCTAAAAGTTGGATAATTATTCTACCAAAGTTATTTAACTTGACTTGGTTTACTGTACAAAAGGAGTGTCATCTCATCTGTCAAACAAACAGAACGAACTATCAGAAAGCATTTGTCTACTTTCTGTGTATTTGTCTGTGTGTCCACATCTTTATACGTGTATTTGTGTATTGTTATGAAATTAATGTATGTGCGTTGTTTTATTTCGGCTTAATAAATTGCTGAAAGGAAATGGAGGCAGTTCCAAAATTACCTCTCATAAGTTTCGAATTGAAGACTAGCCCTGAAAACACTCATTTTGGACCCAAATTAAAACAGGTATGTAGGTCTTCTAATCTTGTAGAGATAAACTTCCTAGGTAAAAAAGCACTTCTTTGTTTTATTTTTTTTACTTGTTCTTGCCTGCAGTATATAGGGGAAGCTTACAGAGAAGATCCAGATAGCTATAGCAATGAGATTCATCAATTGGAAGGGTTGCGCTCTGCAGCTGTGCGCCCTAGCAATGATGCATCTGGACTCAGTGCTCTCCTTAGATACTTCTGCCAATTACGAGCCATACAAAGTAGATTCCCAATGGCTAAAGGACAACCTGTGGCCTGTTCTTTTGCTTGGTAAATATATAGTCTTAATTCTTTCTCAACTGATTTTTATGTGTGCTAAAGTATACATTTACTTATTTTTGGTAGAATACATTAAAAAATAAATAAATAATTAAGTAAGTATACATTTGTGTAGGTTTAGTTATTTATAACCTTTATATGTTCAAGAAAAATATGTGTTATTCTTTGTTTTATCTTGCTGGCATACTACAACTTCCTCTTCGTTTAGCTTTATTTACCACAAAAGTTATATGGAAGAAGATCATTTAAAGCAATGAGACCACCTTTGTCCACTGTATGTTATTGTATTCTTATGTGTGTGTGCGATAAAAAAATAATCTGTCTAGTAGTAGTATGGTGGGCTGTTTCTCCAACTCAACATCCAGTGCCTATTTTGCGTGGGGATTGGCATCAGTCCTGCCATCACAGCTCCTCTAGAAGACCCAGCAGTCCCCGGATGTTTATCTATCTATATTATGCATTCTACCAAAATTTATATATCAAAGAAAAAAATGTACTAATCCTTATAATAACGTAATTAATGAAAATTTTTTTGTTACTCTAACTCTGTGTGTCCTCTGTGAATGACAATTACTTTATCAAACTTCATATTTTCTTCTCTTTCTACCAGAGAATTAAAATAGCCTTTCCAATTTTGTTGTCACTTTGTTTTTACTTTACAGGAAAGATCTCTATGCAAATATGAGCTGTTCATTAGCTGACATTAGGTTTGAATTAGCTTGTATCCTTTACAATATTGGTGCTCTGCACACACAGCTTGCATCATCAGAACCTCGAACATCAGCAGACAGCCTAAAAGCTGCCTGTACAAAGTATCAAAATGCAGCCTGGGCCTTCCAGTATTTAAGGGAACAATATCCCCAGCCACCCGGGGTTGATGTGTCAACAGATATTATGAGGCTATTCCAGGAGATTTGTTTTGCTCAAGCCCAGGAATGTATACTTGACAAAAGCATACAAGATACCAAAAAACCCAGTGTTGTAGGTGTGTAGCCTTTTCTCATTCCATTAGTTTTCATTGATGTTGGAATTTATATTAAACACCTTGTTGAAGGTGTAGGTTTATTTGGTGTTGAGAGAATAGTGGCACTATGGTAGTAAACTTTTAACCCTATTATGCATTTCCTTATCAGTTAATGTTTGAATTAAATACAAGATTTATTACATTATTTTAAATTTGTGATACAGGTGCAGTGGCAACACAGGTACTCTTTTTCTACAGGAATTCATTAGCTCTATTGGGCCCTTCAACTGGAACTGACAATATTCATGAGATAATTGGAACTAAGCTTTACAATTACTGGTACAGATACTTATCCTTTAAAACTGCTTACATTGGATGCATAGTGTGTTTATATCAAGGTTAGTATGATTGTTTGTTTTCCTTGGTTATTTTGGTATTTGGTATACGTTCTTGAATAGTGTGCTTAAAAAGATATTATTTTTAATACATCAATTAATCATGACATTCTGAAATCACCTATCATCACCTTTTGGGGACATATAATTTAAACACTGGAATTTCTTATTTGTTAGTGAGTTCATATTTAAAATCATCTATTAACAGGGATGCATGCGGAAGAGCAGCAGAAAATGGGAGAAAGAGTGGCATACTATCAGCAGGCAGCTGAGAAACTAAATGATGCTAGAAAACTGGCAAAATATATAGAACCAACACAAATAACACAAGAAGCTCTGAACTTCACCAACGATGTGGTGGAAGGGAAGAAGAAAGCTGCTAAGAACGAGAATGAGTTTATTTATCATGAAGAGGTTCCAGATAAAGACTTGTTGGTTGATCTCAAACCTGTGTGCTTGGTTAAGGCTATACCTATCAACTTGAATGACCCAGAGGTATTCCTTCTTTTGGTTGATGATCATTTAATTGAGTTAAAAAAAATATATTACCATTATATTTTTTTTTTAGATATCAGGACCTGACATATTCTCACGCTTAGTCCCAATGGGAGCTCATGAAGCTTCTTCTCTGTATTCAGAGGAAAAGGCCAAACTACTAAGACATGTTGTTACTCAAGTGGAAGTCAAGAACACGGAACTGATGGAATTCATGTCATCCCTACAACTAGAGCAACTGGATGTACTGGATTCAGACCAAAAGTGAGTTTGATAGATTTTATCTTCTACAGAATATTCCTCATTGAGTTGTCAATGGTTGATAGCAATGATGTTTTATAATTTGGTTTATTAAGCATATTTCATCATTGAGGAGCTCCATGGCGCATGTGGTTCGTGCGTTAGGCTGCGATCGTTGAAGTTAAGCAACTTTCGCAGAGGTCGGTCATTCGATGGGTGACCAAAAATCTTCTATCTTGAGTTCCTTCGTGCTTCGGAAGGCACTTTCAGCCGTTTTATCCCAGCTGCATCTGCAGTCGTTAGCACCCGCCACTCCGCACTGGGCCAGCATGGTTGGTCTTGGCCCAATCTACCTATTCCATCCATTGGGAAGGCCTGTGCCCCAGTAGTGGGGACATTAATAGGCTGATAATGATAAAGTATCTAATCTTGTTAAAAAAAAAAGTAGAATATTATAAAACAAAAAATACTAACTCAACTGGTCATTTCTGATGGATTATAAGGGGTTTTAGAAATGCTGAAAGAGGCTTTATATGCTTATAAAAATAACTAGTGTGATTGAATGTTTTGTCTCCTTTGTAATTTAGATACAGATAAAGTGTTGATTCATCGCTGACACTATACAAATTGGTTTTCTTATCAATGATAAAGATCACTACATAAGTAAGAATAAATTGTTTATTTATTTATGTAGGCATTGGTGTCAATTATGGCATGATTCTCTAAAGCTAAACTTAAATTTGACAACAGTGTATCTCTGTCATTCTCATTCATTCATACAGAATGAAAAGGACAGACTGATGTCAAATTTAGTTTTAAGTTAGAGAATCCTGCCAGAATCGACACCAATGTTTATATTATGTTCTTCTTATTATTATTTTAAATTGCAATATAATTTCTAAGCAATGACTTTTATAAGTTTTTAGGAGTTTTAATAGATGAAGAGATATTTAATATTTTGATGTTTCAATTCTAGAATACCCCAAGAAATAGTAGATAGGTGTGCAGCTATGCATGCTAAAACGGAAATAATACAAATGCTTGTGGATTCTATGAATAACTTGGCAGAAATCATAAGTGACGTTGAACACTCCTTAGCTGATATTAAAAACCTCATTCAGGTAAGATTCCAGTGCAGAAAAACCTCAAATTGGCGTATAAAAATAACCACCATGTTAATTTGTACAGTGGTATTTATTACTTTGAATTGCAAACACAAGATATTGTTTAAAAAAACACAGATCTCGTGCTCTACGCGACTTGAAAGGGCATTGAAAATAAATCTAACTGTTTTAGATAATTAAAAAAAAAAACCGTAAAGTTTAAATTTTTTTTTTGAAACAAAAAACTTTTTTTCAAAACCAACTTTTCCAAAATATTTTTACATCATCTTAAAGCCCATCGAATTCCGCGTCTTTTGAGCTCTCGTGGCTCGTGGCCCTAAACCTATCACGGCCGAGTCGCACTTGCAGCGAAAATGGGGGCCTACTGGAGGGAATGAAATAACATTTTCAATGTTAATAAATAAATTACAAATTCATTAAACTAAACACTGATAAAATTAAATGTTGGTAACTTACTACTCTAACTATGGTATATTCTATAAATTGTAGAAAGTAATTGATTTTTATATCCTTAGGAGGAGACGGTCAAAGAGAAAGAGTACCAAAAGGTGATGGGTCCCCGTCCCCCGTCCATAGTTCAAACTGAATTGTCTCGCGAGTTCCACAAGTACCAGGAAGCTCACGCGCGCACCAACGAGAGTAACCAGGTGCTGCACAAGGCGATGACGCTGCACATCGCCAACCTGAGGCTCCTGTCCCAACCCCTGGAGGTGCTGCAGGCCAAGATACCCAGCATTGATAATATTGGTGAGTTGACTATAATTGCTGGGGCAAAGGCCGTAAATAAAAAAAAACTTTATTCTGACTACGTATTCCTGTAAAGGCTGCGAACTACATAAATAAATGAAATCAGTACATCTAACCCGTCGAAATTGTTTTGTTTAACGAATGATGTGCGTAATAACCTAAGAAATACATAATTTTATTTATTTTTTAAGCATTTAACTGCTAGATGTTTAAATCTAAAGAAAAGTTTACTAGAAAAAAAAAAATCCACGCGGACCAGGCAGGCAGGTAACCCACAATGTCAAATGAATACTTTTTCAAGTATTAAACATTTGAAAGAAGAAATAGCAACTATAGTTATGATTTTATTTATTTTTTAAGCATTTAACTGCTAGATGTTTAAATCTAAAGAAAAGTTTACTAGAAAAAACCTAGTGGGTTACCTACAATGCGAAGAGATGGCGCTGCCTTGCAGCTTAAGGCTAGGAAAATTTCGACGCGGCTAATAGGGCCGTGGTAGCATAATGGTCAGTGCATTCGCCCGGATAGCGAAGGATGCGGGTTCGAGTCCCGTCCGCTGCCTGGTCCGCGTGGATTTTTTTCTAGTAAACTTTTCTTTAAATACATAATGTTTGTCCGGCAGAAGGTCTGGACCGCAGCACTATGTCTGAACTCCGGCGCGTGGTAGGCAAGGCTAGAGAGATGCAGACACAGCGCGACGTATTAGTTCAGCAGCTGCGGGATTCTGTCACTTCAGACGACATCACCGGCAAGCTGCTGGCCAGCTCCGAGCCTGCTGACGAACTGTTCCGACGTGAGCTGGAGAAGCACACGCCCAAGGTACGTACCTCTCCTGGCTAGTGTGACATACAGACAGATTTGGGGACCATACGACTGTAATATGCGGCATCAACGGAAAACTACTGGCCAGCTCCGAGCCAGCTGACGAACTGTTCCGACGTGAGCTAAAGAAGCATACGCCCAAGGTACGTACCTCTCCTGGTTAGTGTGACATACAGACAGATTTGGGGACCATACGACTCTCATATGCGGCATCACCGGAAAACTACTGGCCAGCTCCGAGCCTGCTGACAACTGTTCCGACGTGAGCTATAGAAGCATACGCCCAAGGTACGTGCCCCTCTTGGCTAGTGTGACATACAGACAGATTGGGCGACCATACGACTGTCCTCATACATCTCCGGCAAACTGTTGACCAGCTCTGAGCCTGCTGACGAACTTCTCCGTCGTGAGCTGGAGAAGCGCAATCTGTCACGTCAAATATGATTCAGAGGGTTCAGAAAATAACAAGTTTGTTCCAGGGGCATTTAAGCAAAAATCTACTTTATTATTTTGAAATGGTTGTAAGAAAATAAGCTTATGGTGGGTCAAGAATTAAATTGGCTCTTAGTATGTTACGAGTGATTCAAACTTTTATCACTTTTGTGTAGGTAGTTGCTTGCGCGACTTGCGCTAACTTAATAGCCGCCATTAAGTTTGAATCGCACGGTAGCACACCCCTTTCCCTCCCTTGATAGTACGATATATAAGTCGCGGCACGAAACTCTATCGCTGACCGTTATTGCGCAAAACTAAAAAATGAAGATGTCCTGGGGGGAAACGAGGTACGGGTGGGCGTGCGTTGCTTGATTGTAGCTCCAGTCGTACCCATGCGCATGCGCAGGTATCCTCCCAGCGTAAAGTTCTGCGCTAGAGTTACGTTCTGCGACTTGTACAGAGTGTTGTGGTAATCATAACAGGACGACATCACCGGCAAAATAAATGTCTACTTAAAACAAGAAGTGACTAAAATCTTCAACGACAGCGTAGATCTTTATGTGTAGTTGGTAATATGATTACTAGAAAATTTGCGAAATCGGCGCCTGACGTGAGGGTAACACTATATAGATCTTTTTGCCAAAGTTTTTACACTTGTCAACTCTGGACCGATTACACAAAGAAGTCCCATGATGGAATTAGAGTTGCCTACAACAACATCTTAAGGCAATTAATGGGTTACATGCGGTATTGTAGTGCCTCTGAAATGTTTACACAAGCACGCATTGACTCGTTTAATTCCATTCAAAGGAAACGGGTAGCTTCTTTTATGTCTCGAGTTTGCAAGTGTGATAACAAAATTATTAGTTTGGCGGAAAGATTGATGACGACCAATATGTATAAAAGTTGGGTACAAATTACAATTTCAGATAAATTGAGAATTTAAATTAATAACTGAACAAAATTTGACTGAATGTTTCAAATTATTTTGTTCTGTTTTAATTTAATTGTTTTTATTCAATACTAGCAAACCAGGCGAACTCCGTTTCGCCATCAGATGGCTTCGTTTTATGTAACATTTCGTTTGGTGATTAAAAGAAGATTTTTTTTTTTAATTTTTCCTGAATTTTCTTTGCTATAAACCTCACAGAGCCCGAGACCTTTCCAACGAATGCAAAACCGTGGAAATCGGTTCGTGCATTCTGGAGTTATAGCGTCAGGAAGGAAAACCCGACTTATTTTTATATAGTAGATTATTTTCATTTAATTTGACATATGTGTTTTAAATGTATTGTTTTATTGCTATTATTATTTATTTTTATGTAATTGTGGTATTGTCTTTTTTTTTTATAATTTTGATATGGATCTCGTGTCTGAAATAAATGCTTTTATTATTATTATTATTTATTATTAACAAATGCAGCCGGGACCAACGGCTTAACGTACCTACCGAAGCACAGAGTACTCGATATAGTAAATTTTTAGTCAACCATTCAATGACCGACCACTGCGAAAGTTGCTTTACTTCAACGATCGCAGCCGAACGCGCTAACCTATTGCGCTATCGATGTCCTTATATTCAAATAACATCAATCCATTCCTTACTCAGTGATTATTAGTAGGTAGTTATTTAAATTTGTTTTTTTTACTTGATGTTTTGTTGTAGGTGAAGGTAATTGAGCAGAATCTAGCAGCCCAGGAGAACATTATCAACAAACTGACGTCTTTGTATGCCTCTTATGGAGACTCGCGGCGACTGCTCGCTGACGTGCTGAGAAAACGAGAGGGACTTATTAATGGTGAGATTGTAGCTATTATTACTTCATGAATAGGGATGATGACTAATTTTTTTTCTTCGTTTATCAGGTAGATTAACAAAAAGTATTGGACACGTATTTTTTCACATAATATAAACATTGCAGAGATATATTGATTTGCAAAGTCGCATGACGTCACGTTTGAGTACACTTTGAGTGAAAATTCACTCAAAAGTGACGTCACGAGCCCCTACTCCCAAACTTTGACGCGCTATAACTGTCATTTTTTGGTTGATTGCCCAAAGAAAAAATACGTGTCCATTATTTTTTGATCATCTAACTGACGGACTAAATAAAATTTCGTTTACTGTACCCCGTCATCACCCCTATTCTCTCTAAAGTGATTTTTCAACTAGACGACTCTGTATATAATAATACATTGAGAAAAAAGCAGCCCCTGCTGAGTTTCTTGCCGGTTCTTCTTGGTACGAGGTCTCCCGCCGTAGATTTTCAAACCGATGCCGTAGCTCTACCTGTAAAAGTGCTTGTAACAGCCTAGACCAATGGTTACCAACCAGTGGTCCACAGAAGCCAAAATATGGACCGCGAATGAATTTGAATTTAGCGGGCGCGCCCACTAAAAATGTTATTGTTTATTTTTATTTAATTTCATATTAGATTTTTAATTAAACTCTCAGTTTGATTATTACAGTTTATTTTTATTACACTAAAATTTAGTTATTTAGTGAGTGAGTGGTCCGTGCCAAAAAAATAATATAAAAGTGGTCCCTGACCAATAACACGTTGGGAACCCCTGGCATAGACTGACGTTTGACTGTCTTGACGTGACTGAATAAATGTGTTTTGAGAGTCTGATTTTGAGTGAAAGTTAGAAGAATATTGTTGTACAGCAGCAGAAGTTATAGTAATTAACGAACCTTGTGCGCCATACAGCGCAATATCTATTCGCAAACAGCTGTTACAATCTTAATTTTGACATAAGTGACCACTTTAATCGAGGAGCTCGATGGCGCAAGTGGTTAGCGCGTTCCGCAGCGATCGTTGAATTTAAGCAACTTTCGCAGTGGTCGGTCATTGGATGGGTGACCGAAAATTTACTATCTCGAGCTCCTCCGTGCTTCGGAAGGCACGTTAAGCCGTCGGTCCCGGCTGCATCTGCAGTCGTTAGCACCCACCAACCCGCACTGGGCCTGCGTGGTGGGTCATAACCCAATCTCCCTATTCCATCCATAGGGAAGCCTGTGCCCCAGCAGTGGGGACATTAATAGGCTGATGATGATGATGATGACCACTTTAAGGGATTTTATGGAATACTGAACATCAAAATCGTATTAGTCGTCAATGTCAATGAAACAATTTAAATGTTCTCCTTGAAGTCGCCCCAAAAACTTAATTTAAAAAGAATTATTCCACAGCGGCACTGATTTTCTTAGAAACCCTCATTTTCTCTATGTACAAAAATAAAACCTATTTCCCTTGGTCCCGCTATATCCCAAGAACGGTTGTAGCCATTTCATCCATCTGTTTTTTAAGTTATCCTTTACTTTGTACAAGGTTTAAATGAAAACGAAATTAAAAAAGTTGTGGAAAGTTCATTTATAAAAGAAGTGGTGTAAAGTTTCTTAAAAAACTCCTTGTAAAAAAGTTGTTAATGATGTCGATTCTGGCATGATGCTCTTAACTTAAAACTAAATTTAAATCAGTCTCTCCTTTTCATCCTGTAAGTATAGAGAATGACAATGATACACTGCTGTCAAATTCAAGTTTACGTTTCGAGAACATGACAGAATCGCCACCATTGAATAATAAAATAATAAATAAAAATAAATAAATATCACTCACACCAATTAGCCTAGCCCCAAAGTAATCACTGTAGGGCTTGTGTTATGGGATGCTAGGGTAACGGATAGAATACATATACAGTACATATATAATTATATTTATATCATCATCATCATCATCATCATCAACAGCCTATCCTAGTCCACTGCTGGACATAGGCCTCTCCAATTGCACGCCACTCAGATCGATTTTGGGCTACTCGCATCCAGCTTCTGCCAGCCACCTTGCGCAAATCGTCACTCCACCGTGCCTGAGGACGTCCTACACTACGTTTGCCTAGACGCGGTCTCCACTCCAGAACTCGTCTACCCCAACGGTTTTATTGTGGTGGCCTCCCGTAGCCCGGAGATTCTTGGCACCCCCTGCCCCACCGTCACCGTGGTCGCCACCGTGACCAGGAATAGCGGAGCTGCCGGGAACTGGGGGCCGTGGCTTGTGGTTTGTTTGCATTGAAGGTTTTGCCCATAATCGCCACGCTGGGCAGGCGGGTTGGCGATCGCAGAACGTAGGTTAATTCACTGATGACGCTGCTGCCCGTCACCAGTGAGATTTCCCTCCCCTACGTCGTTGGATGGTTATACCGCCATCGGTCGGTTTGCCAGAGCCTCGTCTGTTGGTCAACAGGGTGCACCGCGTGAAGGTGAGGTTGGCTTGGGTTCTTGCAGGTGTATTTAGAACCCCTTACACCTTACATATATAATTATATTTATATAGAAATACATATTAAACATCCATGACTGGAGTACAAATGCTCGTGTTCATCACACAAACATCTGCCCCCACCGAGATTTGAACCCGGGACCTCTCGAGTCGGCGACACCATGAAACCCGGCGTACAAACCGCTCGGCCACGGAGGTCGTCAAATAACTATGATTATGTATTTGCAGCGCTGATAACATCCTACGATACGTACTCCGAACTGCTGGGCAAGTCTCAGAAAGGTCAGGAGTTTTACAACAAGTTGGCTCACAATGTGAACCAACTGCTGGCCCGCCTGCGCAGCACTTGCCAGGTGCAGAGGGAAGAAAGAGAACAGTTACTGGCCACGCATTCCAGCAAAGGTAACATTATCTATTGCGTTTATATTCACCGACTGCCATTAGTTCTATAGAAAGCTGGCTACAATGTCGGCCAGGTGTAGCGAGAGGAGGGGGAACAGTTACTGGCCTCGTATTCCAGCAAAGGTATTAGAATTCTATCGTGTTTATGTTCACCCACTGTCATTAGTTCTATAGAAAGCTGGCTACAATGTCGGCCAGGTGTAGCGAGAGGAGAGGGAACAGTTACTGGCCACGTATTCCAGCAAAGGTAATATAATATATTTATCTCGTTTATGTTCACCCACTGTCATTAGTTCTATAGAAAGCTGGCTACAATGTCGGCCAGGTGTAGTAAGAGGAGGGGGAACAGTTACTGGCCACGTATTCCAGCAAAGGTAATATAATATATTTATCGCGTTTATGTTCACCCACTGTCATTAGTTCTATAGAAAGCTGGCTACAATGTCGGCCAGGGGGCCAATCGCCTAACGGAAATGCTTTGGAAAACGCTAACGCTTACGATTTCTTTTTATTATTTCTAGCCGCCTGAGGTTTTCAAATGCCTCGCGCTCTTTTTTTTTCTTTTGCATTGGCAATAACAATATTAAAAAAAAATGAGCGTGAGGTATTTGAAAACCTTCGGCAGTCAGAAATAACAAAATAAAATCGAAAGCGTTTGCGTTTTCTAAAGCATTTTCGTTAGGCGAATGGCCCCCTGTGTAGCGAGAGGAGAGGGAACAGTTACTGGCCACGTATTCCAGCAAAGGTAATATAATATATCTATCGCGTTTATGTTCACCCACTGTCATTAATTCTATAGAAAGCTAAAGTGTAGCGAGAGGAGAGGGAACAGTTACTGGCCACGTATACTTCGGGTTGCGAGTACATCGATCGATTGTATTTTGTCAACTATCCACCCTTATGTTGTACTCAAAATATTATTGATTTAAGCACCTATTATTGCTGGGTAATGAGGGTATGAATCCGCCGCTAGAGGCGCTTGTGTAGCGCGAGGTCTCCGTAATGTCAAATGTTATTGCTTGTGGGTTTACCATGCTGGTTTATTTATTATTAAAATGATGTTGTGAATATTTGATAATAACTCCGATTAATTATGGCAAATATGAGTTCCGTGTCAATGAATTTCGGTGATTTAAAGACAGAGCTCAGAAAAATTATTATGTCCCCCTTTTTTCTCAACAAAACGAAACTGCGCAACACTGTGGCTTGGCCGATTGTGTTTTCGATACGGTTCTTTTGTATTAAAATATCATTTAAATTTAGACTTTGTTTTCACGCGCATATTAACAAAGTTTAAAAGCTATCATTTCAGGACCTCAATAAAAAATGGCGTTATGGACATTGTTTTTTTTTTATATAGAAAGATCCGACAGATCTCTCTACCCTACCTGATGTTTAGTGACGGTGAAGTCTAGACGCGAAGATAGCTGATACAGCAGTTCTATCTGCCACACCAGCCATCCTCACCCTGCCGGCCTGCATGTTGCTTCTTCACGCCTCTTTTAAAGGATCCCAGGTTGTAAGAGGGAGAGAACACGTAAGCAGGCAGGGCATTCCATTTACGAATAGTGCGACAAAGAAATGAGTCACCAAAATTCTTTGTACGCTTGGAATAGTGGCCACAGTTAGACGGTGACAACGTATTCCAGCGCGCGTGGTCATATGAAGGAAAGGGGAAGGTGGAATAAGAGAGAATAACTCCTCAGAACACTCGCCGTGGTACAGACTTACTGTGGCCACTATTCCTACACGAACAGAGAAATTTGGTAACTCATTTCTTTGTCGTACTATTCGTAAGTGGAATTCTTTACCCGCGCCCGTGTTCCCTCCTTCCTATAATCTGGGGTCCTTTAAGAGAGGCGTGAAGAAGTATTCTTGCAGGCCGGCAAGGTGAGGATGGTTGGTGTATTGTTATTGCGAATACATATTGACGACCTCCGTGGCCGAGTGGTTTGTACGCCGGGTTTCATGGTGTCGCCGACTCGAGAGGTCCCGGGTTCGAATCCCGGTGGGGGCAGATGTAAGTGTGATGAATACGAGCATTTGTACTCCAGTCATGGATGTTTAATATGTATTTCTATATAAATATACTTATATATGTGCAGTATATGTATTCTATCCGTTACCCTAGCATCCCATAACACAAGCCTTACAGGCTTACTTTGGGGCTAGGCTAATTGGTGTGGGTAAAAAATTGGGGCAGCCGATATGAGTAATAAAAACGATTGAAAAAGGGGCCGCAACGAGATTACGATAAATACACAATTACGAATGGTTTGCTAATAGTGTAACGTACTCACGTTTGAAACCTTTGTCGGAAGCTTGTGGTCCGCGTATTCTTCTAGCTAGAGAGACACATGAACAGCACACACAGTCATATAAAAAAATGGGTGCGTGTACTTATGTAAGCGCGTGAGAAGTTATCCTTCTTTGGCATCGTTTAAAATTAGTTTTTAATTGCATGCAAATAATTAATTACAATAAATTAATAAAAAGTCTGGAAAAGGACACAGTCAATAAAGTTCAGTTTTAATTTGAAAAAATAAATAAATAATCAAAATATTCAATTAAAATCGCTACTGAATATAATTTATTAGAACATATGTGATTTGCACTTGTATGAAACTCAAACACGTATTCCGAATATACAAACTAGAAACATGTGGATAAATATTATAAATATGAATACCTATAACTGTTACTTTATTACAAAAAATAAAGATGTGTTTTTTGGTTCTACTACACCAATGGTCAAGAGATGGCGCTGTAGTCTCCTGAATCGCGCTTAGGATCCGTTGTTCCAGATTAATAAATACTTTTGATAGGCCTTCACAATGCAGTCGTTAGCACCCACTAAATAGAGATTCTATTTCTATTTTGTTGGTAGATTTTCTTAATGTGCGGTAAACACAAAAGTAACAGCATGAAGTTGGTCGCTAAAGCGACCAACTTCATGCTGTTAATTTTTGTGTTACAGTGATGCGCGCGCATCTTAAAATTTCACTCTCATAATTTTTTCATAACGCGCCTAAAGAAGTATAACTTCAAAAATTCACAGTTTATTGTTGACGAATTCCACTTGTTTGGTATACCGCTCATAAAGATTATGGTTATACGATGTTAGCGAGTGCGCGGGCGCAGAACGGAGTGACGTAGGTCCTCTCGTGTGATCAGTGGCTAACCGTCTGCGTTAAGCTAGTAAAAAATCACATTCGCAGATGCATCGTTCTCGTTGCGAACCCACCCACATTTAAAAAATTACTAAATAAGTAACCACGATTAAATGATGACGGAACAGTTGGTGTAGCAGTTTATAACTGCTGTACCAGCTGTCTTCGCATTTGGACTTTATCACCACTTAACATCAGGGGTCCATTCGCCTAACGAAAATGCTTTGGAAAACGCTAACGCTTACAATTTCATTTTGTTATTTCTAGCCGCCTGAGGTTTTCAAATGCCTCGCGCTCTTTTTTTTGTTTTGCATTGTCAATAACAATATTAGAGAAAATGAGCGTGAGGTATTTGAAAACCTTCAGCGGTCAGAAATAACAAAAGGAAATCGAAAGCGTTAGCTTTTTCCAAAGCATTTCCGTTAGGCGATTGGCCCCCAGGTGGTGTAGAGTCATTTGCTTACCTCGCTATAAAAAATAGGCGATAGAACGCGCTCAATGACGATGGTTTTGGTATTTTAGCGGCTGTCCCCACCACGTCGACGGCAGTGAAGACAACGGATCCCGTACCGCCGCCCTCTACCGGCGGTTCTCGGAAACTGAAAGACTACCTGCCCTACATGAAGAATAGAAACGCACCACGCAGTGTCACACCGCAAGGTAACACTTTATTGATGTGTAACATCTTTCCTCTCTGTGTGAGGAGCTCGATGGCGCAAGTAGTTAGCGCGTTCGGCTGCGATCGTTGAATTTAAGCAACTTTCGCAGTGGTCGGTCATCGGATGGGTGACCAAAAATTTACTATCTCGAGCTCCTCCGTGCTTCGGAAGGCACGTTAAGCCGTTGGTCCCGGCTGTATCTGCAGTCGTTAGCACCCGCCAATAAGCACTGGGCCCGCGTGGTGGGTCATGGCCCAATCTCCCTATTCCATCCATAGGGAAGGCCTGTGCCCCAGCAGTGGGGACATTAATAGGCTGATGATGATGATCTTTCCTCTCGCTTTCCTGCAATTTGTGGGAGTGATTCAGTGAAATGGGACGAAAGTGTGTAACAGGAAGTCGCGAAAGCGCGCGCTTTTTGATTTGATTTTAGAACATAATGTTCAAATGGCTTATTCCTTTTGGAGTAGGTTTTTTTATTTTACTAATATAAGGTGAGGTTTCAAATGTTACACATCATACGCGACTACTGTAAGGCTCGCTCGTTTTTTTCTGTTTATCATAATCAGCCTATTAATGTCTTCACTGCTGGGACAGGCCTTCCCTATGAATGGAATCGGGAGATTGGGCCATGACCTACCACGCGGGCCCAGTGCGGATTAGCGGGTGCTAACGACTAGGGGCCGTTCAAGTATTACGTAAGCAGATTTATTACAATTATTTACCCCCTTCTCCCCCCTTGTCAGCAAAAGTAAGCAAAGCTCTTACCCCTCCCCCCATCCTTACGTAAACATTGGTACCTATATGCATTTTTCCTTTAATGTATTCTGTTTTTTTTATTGATTCATGAGCTTTCATGAGCTTCATGAGCAGCAGTACTTAAAAAGGCTTAATCGATGATGCTGACGTAATCACCATCTCTACCCCCCCCCCCCCCAAGTCATCAAAAATAAGCAAAGCAGAGACCCCCCTGCCCCCCTATAGTGCTTACGTAATACTTAAACAGCCCCCTACAGATGCAGCCGGGACCAATTGTTAGTTGGTTAATTTATTTATTTATTTATTTTAAACTTTATTTACCAAAATACAATAGAATGGTACAAAAGGCGGACTTAATGCTAATAGCATTCTCTCCCAGTCAACCTTTGGGAAAAAAAAGAAAAACGCGAACGGCGGTATAAAGCTAAATATACACATAAATATTGAAATAATAAATAATATTAAAAATATATACGAATTAACATAGATACATATATAAATACATACTACAAAAGGAATACACATACATACATACCACAATTATATTTAAATATATATATACACATAACTATACACATGATGATGATTAATACAGTGACTCTTTATCTTAAATTTTGGAGCAGATGAGTGCGAACATTCCTTTTAAATATAAATTTATTTGGAGATCTTCTGATGGAGTCGGGTAGGTCATTCCATAGCCGTATGGCTTGAAGAGTGAAGGAGTTGGACATATAGCCTGAATAAGAAAGAGGGATAAAGAGAGCTAATGAATCGCAAGAGCGGAGAGGACGTTCGTGACTATCACAGAGATATTGGAACTTGCATTTCAAAATTTTGCAGTTAATATTACCTACATTGTTACAAAGTGACCGATTACCAACGAGGGTGTAGTTTGAAGCCCGAAAAGAATTAAGCACGCGAGCAGGCATAGTTAAAAATGGTTTTTTCTGTCCGCTGGTTGACCACGCAATTTTTCTTAAACCTAGTTCCAAATTTGTACTTAACTTTTTCTCTACTTGAAGATTGGCTCCCAAACCTCTTGAATTATGACTCTATAAATATTTTACTTAGTAATATATAATGCAGAATTGCTGAATATTTATAATTTCTATGAAAAAGGGCTCAGGAACTTTTGATAAAGTCACAATCTTGAAAATTATGAGATCTCCTACGACGTCATTACCTTGCTACATTTGATAAAAGATGTTGCCAATTATTTACAGAGCCATCAAATTCGCATTTTCTTAGAATATTTCCTCACATCTATCTGATTAACACTTCACAAAAAGCATTTTATAAGTAAAACTAAATACAAATAATTTGTTGTTGTCGGCCTGACATGAAATCAGTGAAGTTTTATTTTGTTCATTGGCAAAAATCAAAGCATTAATTATCATACAGCCTTCTCTTAAGCCTGATCAGAAAAATAAAACCTATTATTATAGGCCTTCAGTGATTTTATTATAATAAAAATAAGGGCCAAATATGTCATAGTTTTTGGAAGTTTTGAATTAATATTGTTTATTTCGATATACTTACAGAAATATTTTTAGTATACATTTATTGTTCATTTATTTGAGTAAAACGGAACATTTTCCTTTTGAAACAGACATGAAGTAAATTTTTTACTTTTAAATATTTGATTATTTCACGAAAGTTGTAAGAGAATTATAAATACGTAATAATTAATAAAAAATATTATATAATTATGGGCTAGTGCAAAATAATTATACATGTTAAGGGCAGTTTCTTAGCCATGTCCTTTATTAATTGTGTTTCTACTTAAATCTAATGTTGTTGAATTGTCTTTGATTTGTTTGGTCAATATATGATTGTTATTTCTTTCTTCTTCTTTGTCCTTAAATTCCTTTTAATTTGTACTTCATTTTTCGTTCATCATTAGCCTATTAATGTCCCCACTGCAGGCGCGCAGGCCTTTTCTATGGATGGAATAAGGAGATTGGGCCGTGACCCACCACGCGAGCCCAGTTCGGTTTGGTGGTACTACCGACTGCAGATGCAGCCGGGACTTACAGCTAGTAAATTTATGGTCACCCATCCAATGACCGACCACTGCGAGAGTTGCTTTTTTGAAAGCGCTAACCATTTGCGTCATCGAACTCCTCGCTTTTCGCTCGACCCAAGATCGTTTGAATTTTTTAATAAAAGTTGAAGTTTGGAAATTAGAGGCTGGTCTGCAACGTCAACATAAAACCAAACAGTTTAAAAGTGTAATTATAACGTACATTTATTATGTTTTGCAGCGCAAATCGATCCTATGCCGGCAGATACCTACTACCCGGAGTCAATTTACCCTACATCAGTTAGGCCGACACCTGTGGGATCCGAAGGTACTTATCAATTGCTTAAAAAAATATGAATAAATTTTAAAATGTTCCATGAAGTTAACTTGAAAATGAATTTGAACCAGTCCATGGTAACGAATAAACTTGTTTGCCCTCTTGTGTACAACACTCGACATTTTATTTACAGCAACAGATATGGCTCAAATGAAAATGCCGGACGGAGTTGTCATGCCCCAAGGGGTGCAAAACTTCAACGCGTACAATCGCATATCTACTCCGTACGCGCCAAGCGGAAATGAACCTTATTCTTTACCACCCAACTATAATTATGGCATGACTGGGAAACCTTACGACAAACCCGAAGACAACTACGGTTATTCCACACCCTACACACCACCACAGTATTCGACGCAAGTCGCCGACCCACAGATATATTCCAATCCCTATTACAGCGCGACGCAAAACAACGGCACCGTAATGACAGACTCGCAAATATCGAATCCGTACACGAACAACGTGCAAGCGAATGTGGACCCTAACACCAGTCAATACAGCCCTTACAGCGATCCGTACGCAAACCAACAGCCTGCACAGGAATCTGTACCTTACAACGCTCCAAATCCAAACGATAACAATATGAACGTGAGCTTCGCCCAAATGCAGATTTCCTACCCCAAACAGGAAGCGAATCCGCAACCCACGCCGCCACCACCCAATTACGGAGCGGATTATTCGCAGACCTACTACAGCGTTCAATATCCACAATCCGCGACCCCGAACAACGCGACTTACAGCTACGCGACACAAAACTGCAATACAAGCATGACGCCGTCACAGATGCCGACAGACTACGCTACCTTGAACTATCCTTACACCACTGACCCTCAAACCCAGCAAGTTCCACAATTAGATCCAAATACACAGCTGCCTTACAGCAGTGCTGAATACAACTATACTACCAGCGCTTATGCTAACGTGTCCCAAGGGTACACTTTATACACAAACGCAGACAGCAACGTGACCTCAACTACGAGTATATCGAATCCTGCAGTCAGCGCTGCGCAGCAATATCCTTACCAAGAACCAGACACTTCTCAACAATACGTCACACCTTCTCTATCCCAACTGGACGCTTACGATAAACCTATAAAGTCTCACGTGACAGGAGAAGCGCTTTCCACGAACGTCGGCTATCAATCGAACTACCAAAGCTTCGATCAAAATACAGCGTCCGCTTACAACAATCCGTCAGATCAAAACTACCAATCCAATACCCCTTATTCGTATCCCGACCAATCGGCGAACGTGAATTTCGTGCAAACCTATCAGAACCATCCGGGTTACACATTCAACCCGGCCACAGGAAGTTACGAGTACGCATACGGCTCACAGAATTCCTATAACACGAATTACGGTACGGAACAATCCAACATGAATCCGCAGTCGATTGTGAAAGATTTGAATCAGCCAGCGCATGGGACGTATACAAATGCGGGTACTTGTGAAACGGTACAGTCCCCTTCGGAAACTACTCAGAGTATCTTGCCGCAACAGATTGCTGGAAAGACTGGTGGCGATCAGACTTATTACAACGCCCCTTATGGCTACCAGACCACGGATCAGTCGCATGAAACTGTGGCCAATTCCCAACCAGATACGACGAACTATGGTGCTAATATCAACCAGTCTACGTACATGCAATCTGGGCAAGGTCTCGACACCAGTGTCACCTATGCCAGCAATCAAGGTAAGATTTCCTAGCTTAGCTGCTTGATGGGGATATGTTGCATCTTATTTAACTAACATTTCACTTTAGGTTTCCTATTAATTTTTATGAGCATATGCGTTTCAGTTATTTTTCATTTTCCAAATCTTAAGTTTTTTAATACTATGTTTATCTATGCTTGGTTTTTCTGTTCTTGTAACGAGGTATGTAATTAAAATCGTAGTTTAGAATTCTCACTGAATAAAAGTGTGTTTAAAAATGAAAGTTTTTTATTTATCCTAATTTAATTATTCCTTTCCAGTCTCATCTCCTAAGGCGGAAGTTCAGGAACCGCCAAATTTTGACCAACATACGAATGACGGTAACCAACTAGCGCCGACTCCTACAGAGAACGTTAGTAAAGAAGTCGAGAAACCAATAGAAATAAAACTGGAAGAGAAATCGGAACCTTCTGTTTTCGATCTTCTATCTGACATCGATTTCAGTGTCGAACAAAAGCCCCTTATGCCCGAGATAAAAGTGCCCCAGATATCGGAAAAGGCGATCGTGAAACCGGTTGTGGTGCCAAAACTGGAACCTGTTCAGAAGCCTGTGGTCAAAGAAGAGATGTTAGAGCGACCGGCGAAGATGGACCTCTTTTCAGATCCGATGCTGTTGAATAACTTCACACGAGAGATGAAAGAGTTGAGAAACTTGGTGGAGAAATTGGACAACAAATTGTCTAGTGAGTTCTTAGATGCCAAATGGAAGATTTATCAGGCGGTTCAAGTAAGTAATTTAACTATGGTCTATTTGCTACAAAATTTCTATTTTCTTTATTGGCAAAGGTCCTTTTGCAGCAAATTTGTTAAATCTCGATTCAACTAAAACTAGGTCTATCCCATACGAAAATATCTAAATGTCAATGTCAACATGACATCATTGTATACATTGTATATATTACATCACGCTAATATTAAAATGGCGATAGTTTGTGAGTGTTTGAGTGTGTTTGTTTGTAACGTCTAAACTACTGGAGTGATTTTCATAAAATTTGGTATGGAGTTAGCTGTCACCCAGAATTAACACATAGGCTACGTTTTACTTAGGGAAAATATCCCTAATAAATCGCGGGTAACAGCTAGTTGTATATATTTTTAGTTTTAGTAAAATTGAGATTAAGCAAAATTGCTGCAAGCGGACCTAAATCTAGTTTTTAGTTACATTAAGATATTGCGAATTTGTTAAAAGTGGGGCTAAGTCATATTTTAGATCATGCATGCTGCAATCTTAAAATCGATGGATCTGTGTATGATTGTGTATGTGTGAATTTGTAATTTACGTAATTTTTCAGGAGAACACCAATATGTGTAAATCTAAAACGGCCGCTCTTCAGCATGGCGAGGGCCGTAACCCTAAAGACGTGGTGCCTTACGACGATTCAAGACTGATGCTCAAATCTGAGCCAAACGCGTATTTCAACGCCTCCTATTATAAGGTAAACAAATAATCGTAATCAAAATCATTTTTTCAGTTTAGGCTGTTAGAAGCACTCATGAATGTCTAAAAGCTACCGCATCGGTTCGTAAATCTATGGCGGGAGACCTTGTACTGAGAAGAACCGGCAAGAAACTCGGGAAGGGCTATTTTTTTCTCTCTGTTTTATTAAATTCTCTGGACCAATTAAAAACAAACGTCCTGCTTTTGAACATTGTGTATTTTTGCTATTATAAATCCACATCATATTAATATTATAAATGCGAAAGTGTCTCTGTCTGCCTATCTGTTACCGCTTCATGCTTAATCTACTGAACTGATTGAGATGAGTTTTGGCTATAAAGATATTTTGAGACACGGGAAAGGACAGGATTCCAGACTTATATCCCAGACAAAAAGGGAGTTGAAGTTTGTATGAAAAACCCGATTTTCATGCACAGACGAAGTCGCAAGCACCCACTTGTAATTCTTAAAGTTTCGTTCTAGAAGACTTTGTAGACTTATAAACTTGCAGGAAAACTCCAAAAAATATTGAAATCCAATCGTTATGTCGTTTTCTTTAGCTACTATAAAAAATCACAATGCATTATTGATTATATATTGTTTTAAACTTACATGTTCACTAACATTAAAGCTATTAACGGGATTGTTAGCATGTACCTTGTTTTTTATGAGTCTCCGATAATCCGGAGTTACTCCGTGATCATGGCGCTTGCAATAGTGCCGAAATAAAAAACAAGGTACATGTTAACAATCCCGTTAATGCCGATATAAAAAACAAGGTACATGGTAACAATCCCGTTAATAGCTTTAACATTATTGATTACTTACGAAAAAAACCAGGATTAATAATAGATAATGTGAATTATAATAAGTATGTTTGGTTTTTAGCAATTAGCTTCGTGGTGTATTCCTTTAGTGATCTCAAAGAACCCCTCTGAAAATGAACACGGCATTTTCTGGAAAGCAATATTAGAAAACAAAATAAGTGTCGTTGTGTGTCTGCTCAGTGAAATCGAGGTAAGTGTGCATGACTCTTATTATTTATTTATTCCAAAAGTTTCTAATAATATTATACTTTATTCTTCAGTCAGAAGTCTTGGCCGAGGCAGTACTTAACAGCAAAATGTAATTATAATCGACTTCAAGTCCATGCTCATTAGTATTACAATGACAACCGCATTTGGTACATAAAATATTTGTCATTTATAGTATAATACTAATAACTACCTTTTCCAATATCAAAACCTCGATTATTCAACTCGGGAAATTGTCTTGTACCTCGATTTTGATACTGTCAACCAACTATAAGCTACCGACGTTAAATGCAAGCAAATATCGCCTTTATTTAATGAAAATATATCAAAATCTTTTCATTGAAAAGACAATAAAGGCGATATTTGCTTGTGCTTAACTCAAACTGGCGCTTGGTCGAAGAGGCGCGTCGCGTCATGTTTTTCGATTTGGAAATACCCCCCCCCCCCTGCATCTGCAGTCGTTTGCACTCACCAACCCGCTTTGAGCCCGCGTGGTGGGTCATGGCTTAATTCCCCTATTCCATCCATAGGGATGGCCTGTGCACCAGCAGATGGGACATTAATACGCTAATGATGATGATGAAATATCGCCTTTATAGTTCTTCAATAGGGTATCTGACAGTATTAAAAATAAAGTGCCAATTGTTAGCATCTGTATTAAGAGTAAATATTGGCAGGAGTTTTTACTATTTTCACAGAAAAAATATTCATAATTTTACTAAAAACACACGATAAAGATAATAGTTTTCTTGTCTATTGTCACGTGACCCAAAACGCTTGGGATTGGTGGAGCCTAAAATGACGTCACACGCAAGTAAACTTCCGGTTAAAGTGACATTTGATTGTATGGATTGACGTTTTAATGACAGTCGTGTGTCGTCACATACCAGTGAGACGACATTTTGTTAAGAGATACGTTTTTCGCGGCAACTTGCAAATAGAGTTTTTGATTTGATTTTTTTACCAAAATACACAACGTAATGATGAATATCCACTTTTTATTGACTCTATAAACATTAGTAAATAACGTGAGAGCGTTTTCCAAATACCCTATTAAAACCTGTTTTCCCGGCAAACAGATGCAAGGCAACACGTACTGGCCGACGGCTAAGGGTCAATGCTTGGAACTGGGCGATGTCAAGGTGACATTGGATGAGGTGTCGTGCACTGTACACTGGACGGAGCGCAAGCTGAGTCTCGCCTATCGTAATGCTGTGGCGCACGTGACGCATTATCAGATCACCGTGTTCCCTGACAAGTGAGTTATCTTCTTGGTTTATACTGTTACGTGTCGGGATGGGGTTCGAAATTATATGCCAGTTCAAGCTTGACAGTTATTTATTCACCGCGCCGCGTAGGTAGAATTTGCTACCAACGCGCATAACTTGTAAACAAGTGCAGTTGTCATTACACTTTCTCCCTTACGCCACACTGCATAAGGCTCATTTTAGAATGAGCCGTATTACTCGACCTCTATCGCGACCTGCGGTGCTCTGGCACATTCGATCTCTAGCACTCTCGCGGTTCTGTTTCGAGAGCGTTTGTGACAATACTATAACACGTAACACTTTGTATAGTCTGTTCCAAACGAATTTAGACCAAAAGTAAACAAACAGGTAGGTAAGTCTGACCATAGACAGTTTAGTGTTGGGGATTCATAGAGCCTTATCAAAATCAATTGCACAATTGAATTATCATATTCTTAGAAATTGTTAAAGATCTATAAGGCTTAATTTGTAACATTAATATTTTTTTATGTTTTTTTTCTCAAAAACGAGCTCTGGCTGTTAACTGTATTTGGCAATATAGTTAACTAAATTTTGTTACCTCATAAAACTCTTTTTAAACGAATGGTTTGCGTGATTTATTAATAATCTAGGTGCGTCGGCTAGCGAGCTCTAAACATAATAGCGGGCGACTATACATAATAGTTTTGAGCAAATAAATTTACTTAGGTAGAGAGCAACGAATTAGAAATATTAAGGAACACGAACTGCACCAAAAAAGTGGTTTCACGAAAACTGCTATCAAGTAGGCGGGACGAAAGAAAATTCGTTCTACACCACGATCGTGGGATTGGTTGAGATTTCCGTTTAACGTTTAACGCCAGGATTTGGACATATTTTCCATTGTGAAGTTTAATGGTGTCGTGATGTTCGTTAGGATTGTATGCCCGCCTCTGGTGATGCTGGCGCACGTGGTGCTACAGCAGACTTATAACGGGCGGCTCAGCAACCAGCTGGGAGGCGCCTGCGTGCAGCACGGTGCTGGAGCCGGGCGCGGCGCCGTGCTGGCGCTGCTGGTGATGCTCATGTGCCAGGTGCGCGCCGGCCACCTGGCGCTGTGCGGTGAGTAGGGGGGCTGGGGCACGCGGCACGCGGGCGGCGCCGTGCTGGCGCTGCTGGTGATGCTCATGTGCCAGGTGCGCGCCGGCCACCTGGCGCTGTGCGGTGAGTAGGGGGGCTGGGGCACGCGGCACGCGGGCGGCGCCGTGCTGGCGCTGCTGGTGATGCTCATGTGCCAGGTGCGCGCCGGCCACCTGGCGCTGTGCGGTGAGTAGGGGGGCTGGGGCACGCGGCACGCGGGCGGCGCCGTGCTGGCGCTGCTGGTGATGCTCATGTGCCAGGTGCGCGCCGGCCACCTGGCGCTGTGCGGTGAGTAGGGGGGCTGGGGCACGCGGCACGCGGGCGGCGCCGTGCTGGCGCTGCTGGTGATGCTCATGTGCCAGGTGCGCGCCGGCCACCTGGCGCTGTGCGGTGAGTAGGGGGGCTGGGGCACGCGGCACGCGGGCGGCGCCGTGCTGGCGCTGCTGGTGATGCTCATGTGCCAGGTGCGCGCCGGCCACCTGGCGCTGTGCGGTGAGTAGGGGGGCTGGGGCACGCGGCACGCGGGCGGCGCCGTGCTGGCGCTGCTGGTGATGCTCATGTGCCAGGTGCGCGCCGGCCACCTGGCGCTGTGCGGTGAGTAGGGGGGCTGGGGCACGCGGCACGCGGGCGGCGCCGTGCTGGCGCTGCTGGTGATGCTCATGTGCCAGGTGCGCGCCGGCCACCTGGCGCTGTGCGGTGAGTAGGGGGGCTGGGGCACGCGGCACGCGGGCGGCGCCGTGCTGGCGCTGCTGGTGATGCTCATGTGCCAGGTGCGCGCCGGCCACCTGGCGCTGTGCGGTGAGTAGGGGGGCTGGGGCACGCGGCACGCGGGCGGCGCCGTGCTGGCGCTGCTGGTGATGCTCATGTGCCAGGTGCGCGCCGGCCACCTGGCGCTGTGCGGTGAGTAGGGGGGCTGGGGCACGCGGCACGCGGGCGGCGCCGTGCTGGCGCTGCTGGTGATGCTCATGTGCCAGGTGCGCGCCGGCCACCTGGCGCTGTGCGGTGAGTAGGGGGGCTGGGGCACGCGGCACGCGGGTGGCGCCGTGCTGGCGCTGCTGGTGATGCTCATGTGCCAGGTGCGCGCCGGCCACCTGGCGCTGTGCGGTGAGTAGGGGGGCTGGGGCACGCGGCACGCGGGTGGCGCCGTGCTGGCGCTGCTGGTGATGCTCATGTGCCAGGTGCGCGCCGGCCACCTGGCGCTGTGCGGTGAGTAGGGGGGCTGGGGCACGCGGCACGCGGGCGGCGCCGTGCTGGCGCTGCTGGTGATGCTCATGTGCCAGGTGCGCGCCGGCCACCTGGCGCTGTGCGGTGAGTAGGGGGGCTGGGGCACGCGGCACGCGGGCGGCGCCGTGCTGGCGCTGCTGGTGATGCTCATGTGCCAGGTGCGCGCCGGCCACCTGGCGCTGTGCGGTGAGTAGGGGGGCTGGGGCACGCGGCACGCGGGCGGCGCCGTGCTGGCGCTGCTGGTGATGCTCATGTGCCAGGTGCGCGCCGGCCACCTGGCGCTGTGCGGTGAGTAGGGGGGCTGGGGCACGCGGCACGCGGGTGGCGCCGTGCTAGCTAGCAAAGGACATGCGACCAAATATTGATACGTGCCGGAAAGTTTTATAAATGTGTTAGGAATATTGTGTAATATATTATTGTAATTCACAAACACCTCAATCAATATAGGCTTTGCAGAGAGGGTAATTGATACATTTAGTTTTATAATTTTAGTGTTCAGCACAAATGTTTGATAAAGAATTCTCGAAAGAAAGTTTGCTACAGTTAAACATGTCATGATCAGAGCAAATATTGTTAAAGTATGAACACATCCTGTTCAATGGGCTGTTCAGCCAAATATTATTTGTGGTGGAGAGTACACAAAATACGGTACGGTTTGACGTGCCCTCCGAGGCTCAGAGGATCCCGAGATCATAAACTTCTGATCATCCATTCTGTTCCATTCATCCAAAAGTTGTTTAACTTTCACCATCACGGACTGAATATGCTGACCCCTGAATTATTGTTCACAGAAATGCTAGAATCTGGATGCGTTAACCTCTGCAAGAATAGAACTAACGTGCTAGAAGATAAGAAGTATTTGGTGGACGCGTACAAAACAGCATTGTTTTACGTGCAGGGCGTCTTCTGTTCAGGTGAGGTTTGCAACCAACGTATCTTGGGTAGGACAGAGAGTACCTATTATATACAAGTGTAACAGAAATAACGTACACCCAGAAAGTAGTTTGGTTGGAATTCACTTTTCCGCTTAACAATAATTGATATTAATTTGATAATAGGGTATTTGAAAGTATTAAAAAAAAGTGCCATTTGTTAGCATCGGTATTTAGAATGAATATTGCTAGGGGTTTTTATTATTTTACAAACAAAAAAAATAATAACTTTACTAAAAACCCACGAAAAAGATAACAGTTTTCTCATCTGTTTTCATGTGACCGAAAACGCCTGGGATTGGCGGAGCCTCTAATGTCGTCACGCGCTAGTAAACTTTCGGTTAAAGTGACATTACATTGTATCATTTGACAGAGTCGTGTGACGTCACATATCAGTGAGACGCCATATTGTCCAGAGAAACGTTTCCGTGGCAACTTGAAAATGGAGTTTTTGATTAAGTTATTTTTACTGAAATACCTACACAACAGAAAGATGAATATCTACTTGTTATGGACTCTATAAACATTATTAAATCACGTGAGAGATATGATATATAAAACAAGGTAATAAGAGCTTGTTTTAAATGCATAGGTACGTTAAATAATTTTCCTGATATTGAGATATATCTGCTAAAATTACTAAGTAAAAATAAAAACTGGCCAAGTGCGACTCGGACTCGCGCACCGAGGGTTCCGTACCAACCTGTAGGTATATAATAATTATTAAAAATATGTATATGTGATTTAAGAGAAAAATTGCGGTTCTATAAGACGTTGCCTTCATACCAAATTCAAGATATCTTTCGAGTTTCGAAAATTTGCAGAAATTTGCGGTATAAACGGCTCTATGTTTTGATTGCGTTGGTTTAAAAGTTTGATTTTTTCACAGCTGTCAGGGACAGCAGACCTGAGTATTTGATATAAATTTCAGTTGGATACCTCCACGCGTTCCTGAGAAAGAGGGTCTTGACAGTCAGACGGAAGGACGGAAAACAAAGTGATGCTATGAGGGTTCCGTTTACACACGAGCCAAATCCTTCAGACCAATTAGTCTAACCTCGTTCCTTTTGAAAACATTGGAAAGACTGGTAGACCGACACCTTAGGGATGGAGCACTTAGTAAGGTCCCGCTGCACCCTCAACAACACGCCTATAGAAAAGGCAGATCAACAGAGTCGGCACTGCATGCGGTGGTCCATAAAATAGAGTCGGCAATCACAAACAAAATGTCAACATTGGCAGCTTTCATAGACATAGAAGGTGCTTTTGACAAAACGATGCACAACAGCATTAACCACGCCCTAAGAAAACTCAAGGTGGACCAAGTTACCAGGAGTTGGATCACCGAACTGGTCGGGAAAAGGGCGGTTCAGATAGTGGGGAATACTTTCACGCGTGCGAAGGTAGTAAGAGGATGTCCTCAAGGGGGAGTCCTATCACCACTTCTCTGGAACATAGTAGTAGACAGCCTCCTAAGGAATCTGAATGATAGAGGATACACTACTATTGGTTATGCGGATGACCTAACAATTCTGATAAATGGGAACGCTGAAAACGTCCTGTGCAAAGTTATGCGTTCTGCCCTTCAGATTGTGGAAAAATGGTGTGACGAACATGATTTGTCAGTAAACCCGAATAAAACAGAGCTTGTCCTTTTCACCAACAAAAAGAAGCGGCCCGAACTACAGTTACCAAAACTGTTTAATACCAAACTCTCCCTATCAACACAAGTGAAATATCTGGGCGTAATCCTTGATAACAAATTGAACTGGGCGAGTCATATTGAATTTAAAACAAAGAAGGCCTGCATAGCTTTTAACCAGTGTAGAAGATTAGTTGGTAAGAAATGGTGTCTTAGTCCAAAGATCACTCTTTGGCTATACACAGCAGTTATCAGGCCAGCAATAACCTACGGTTCAGTTGTTTGGTGGCCCAGGACCCAACTGACCACAGTGAAATCTAAACTCCAAAGTCTGCAGCGCTTGGCGAGCGTAGCAGCAACTGGATGCATGAGAACAACTCCATCTGCTGCATTAGAATACCTCTTGAACTTAAGACCTCTAGACCTGGTCATACAAGAAGAGGCAATAGCAGCAGCCTTGAGACTAAGATCTTTGGGCCTATGGAGATCAAACACTGTAACAACACACTCCAATGTTCTCCAAAGGTGCATGAAGGAGATTCCACTCCTGGAGGCACCTATGGATAGAATATTGGATCAACACGTCTTTGATCGAAGATACAACATCCAACTTACCGCGGAAAAGGTAGACTACTCTGGCGCCGGGGAAGTTAGGATATACACAGATGGCTCCAAAACCAACATTGGCACTGGAGCCGGTGTCTTCTCGAACGACCTAAATATAAAAATATTCACAACCTTAGACAAACTAAGCACAATCTTCCAGGAGGAATGTATTGGCATTACCAGAGCGGCACAGGCGGTTGCAGCCAGAGACATCAGAGAGTTCAACATTAAGATCATCTCTGACAGTGCATCCGTGCTTCAAGCCCTAAGTAGCAACACAATAAACTCTGTCCTGGTAATGGAGTGCCACAGTGCACTTCAATCCATTGCGGTAACCAATACGGTAACTCTGCAATGGATAAAAGGATACAGCAACTCAATCGGAAACGACGCAGCAGACGAATTGGCTAAGAGAGGAGCAGACACAAAAGTGTAAGGTCCGGAACCTCTTCTGCCCATACCTCAGGCCCAAATTAAGACGTGGCTGCGTGAAAGAACTCAGAAACTACACTTGACTGAGTGGAAAACAGGTGAAGGATGCCGGCAAACGAAAAACGCAGTTCCGGAGGCGAACAAGAGACTTGCCCGCACCCTTACCAGACTTAATAGGGACAAACTCCGCATAGTCATGGGAACCCTGACTGGTCATTGTCCCCTGAACAAGCACCTATACACATTAGGAGTAACAGACAGCCCCCTATGCAGAGGATGTATGGAGGCAGAGGAAACGCCACAGCATGTCATTATGGGATGCAGGAGTGTAGCCGACCAACGGGCACGACTTCTCCAGTCACCCGCATCGCTTCCGGAAGCTTGCAGCAGTCTGTCAAGACTGCTTTCCTTCTGGACTAACCTAGGCTGGCTGGAGTAAACGGGAATGTTTCAAGACACGCACAATGGTCCAATGATTAGGACTAAGTGCGGAAACCGCCCTGAAAAACTAAACTAAACTATGAGGGTTCCGTTTTTTCCTTTTGAGGTACGGAACCTTAAAAATTACTAATACACGTTGTATATCTAACTATCTATCTAGTTTTTGTTCTCAGGCTTGTATTATACACAATGACATTCATCTATGATTCTTCTTATACCTGCATGCAAAGTCTCAGCCCGATCGGTTTAAAATTGACAAAGTTTCATACAAACTTTCATTTACGATTTTATCCCCTTGGGGGTAGAATTGATCAAAATTTTTTCTTAGCGGATGCCTACGTCATAACATCTACCTGCATGCCAAATTTCAGCCCGATCCGTCCAGTGGTTTGGGCTGTGCGTTGATAGATCACTATATCAGTCAGTTACCTTTGAGTTTTATATATATATCTAATATGTATCGTGAATCTAACTTACGTATTCAATCCTAGACTTCCGGATTTTTTTAGATGACTGCTAAAGGACAAGAGATTTTTGGAGAAGTATATCGATAACTTTTCATAGTTTTATGTTAGGTTAGACCTTAGGATCTTGATCAGATCAGAATTATGTATAAGTTAGATAAGTGTATTTAATTATTGTTTTATCTAGTTTTCGAGTTAATGGGGTCGACTCTGGCATGATTCTCTAAACCTAAGCTAATCATTAAATAGAACAAATTTCAACGGGTTAAGGCGGCGGTTCGCGCCGCGACCGCGAGCGGAGACCGAGACGAGAGACAAAGACAGGAGACCGCCACTGGCACTTGTTCTTTAGATTTGTACGGGTGACAGTTCGCGCGTGCGACAGAAACAGGAGACAGAGACGCGAGAGAATAGTGTCTCGTGTCGCGTCCGAAATGCACGTGTTTTTATTATTAAAAAATAATGGGTTTTTTTGACGTAGATTGTGATAACCTAATTGAATTGATCAGACAGCACCCTCCGATTTACAATGCACAACTTTATAGTTTTGTAGTAATAATATAACAGCAAATCATCGTCTTCTTCTTCCTCCAATAATAACTTCACGTGGCGTTCCATAACAGTATTTAATGACACACTAAAACACAATTCACTCCATCAATAGACTACGATACTGAGGTAGTTGCGGTCTCGCGGTCTCGTCTGTAGTCTCGGTCTCGCCCCGCAGTACATATAGAAGAGACCGAGACACTAGTCGCGGTCTCCTGTCTCGGTCTCTCATCTCGGTCTCCTGTCGCGGTTGCGGCGCGAACCGCCAGCTTTAGATGCACTGACTTTATTTATTTATTGACGTTTCGCATCCTTTGCAGCAATGCGTCATCGGAATAAAGATTTTTTATTTACTTTGTCGAGATACCTTCGAAAGAATTTTAATGAGCGTTCGGATATTTCATTGGAAATTGTTTATTTAATGAGTGATGTGCGTGAAAACCTATGAAACACCTCAGTTAATCATGTCGGATCATAATCATAATCAAAATCATTTATTCAGTTTAGGCTGTTACAAGCACATATGAATTTCTAGAAGCTACGCCATCGGTTCGTAAATCTACGGCGGGAGACCTTGTACTGAGAAGAACCGGCAAGAAACTTAGCAAGGGCTGTTTTTTTCACCCTGTTTTACATTTAAAGAGTCGTCAAGTTGAAAAATGACTTCAGAGATGATTCATGAAGTCACCTTTCATTACATAATGTGAAATTATACATTAATTGTTCACCTGAATTTTGATTGCTGTGTCCCACAGTATAAATACAAAGAGAGTTATTTATAATAATAATATAGATCAACACCAATGTCTAACTAAAATAAACTAGCAAACCAGTGAACCAAATGTTCACCAAAAAAAAAAAAAAGAACTTCAGAGATTTTGTGTGGTTTCGTTTGAAATAGAAATCACGTGATTTCTCGAAAACCGGAAGTGCTACGTTACTCACATCCGGTTTGTAGTCTTATCAGACTATTCTTAACTTATAACTTAAACATTCTCTATACCTATCTCTTACGGTTTGACCGCTGAAACAGCACCACGGACGGACGGACGGACTTGTCTATTAGATAAGAGATTAGCGATCAACATTTATAAGTGAGAGAATAGTTTATTGCGCTTATTCTCTCGTTAAGGAAAATGCACTATAAAATCCCTCACCAGGAGGTCTACCTTGCGATTCCGTTGATAATCTAGAAACGTTTTTGCGACACAGATAAAATTAATTTATGTGGTTTTACTGCTCGTGTAAGCGATACTCAGAATTAGTTCCGTAACACAATTTTTAAAGTCCTGTTGTTATGAACGTCACTAATATGGGGCACCACTAGGCTGTGCACCATCACTCGATGATTATTATCACAAAACTAGCTGTGCCCCGCGGTGTTACCCGCCGTTTATTAGGGATATTTTACTGCAGTAAAACGTAGCCTATGTGTTAATCCAGGGTGTCAGCTAACTCCATACCAAATTTTATTAAAATCGCTCTAGCCGTTTAGACGTGAAGAAGTAACAAACATACACATTCACAAACTTTCTTCTTTATAATATCAAAATGGCGTTGCCGGTCTTGAGTGTGTAAGTTCTATATTAATTAAACATTAAACTTATTTAGTTTATCTAATGATGTATTATTTCAATACATCAACTATGAAACTGTAAGTTACAGTAGAAGCGGGCTATGTCGTTCGTGGGAGGTAACTTTTTCCCAAACCGAGAATCGTGTAAAATCGGTTGCAAGAAGTAATCATTAAAGGCTGATTTACACTTTGATAAGTACAGTAGCGAGTTTCGAAATACTGTACTTACAGAAGTGTAAATCAGCCTTATGGCAAAGTAAACGGGAGACGTTCAGCCTTCCAAGGTCTTTATGTTGAATTAGTAGTGTTATATTTTTAATTTTGATTAATCGTGATGAGTCTCGTCAACCTTAGACTCTGCTAGAATATCAGCGCCGCAGGGGCCCTGCTCCACTAGCATGAGCAACGCGAAAATCTTGATTTCTTTCAATCAATCAATAAGAGAGTAACGGCATAGTGGACTTCCCGTTAGTAGTGAATTGCCTGTCTTGAATACTAACCTCTTGGATATCTTACAGAAGACAGAATCGGCAGAAGAGAAAAAAATTACACTTTTTTTTTGGTAATATTGTGTTTCTATTGTTGAGTGATATTCCAGGCCTCCATGGGGTACGTAATTTATGTCAGAATAGATTTTACCGCATCAGCTGTCTTTACTGCGCCGCGCGGTGAAATAAGTTAAATCTCCCAATATTTATAAAACTCGCTCACGTGATTGCGAATGGACTGAGTATTTCTATGACAAACTTATCTTCCAATTGTGGGTTACCTACAACGCGAAGAGACGGCGCTGCCTTGCAACCTAAGTAATACTAGAGAAAATGCGACACGGCGATCAGGGCCGCGGTTGCATAATGGTCAGTGCATTCGCCCGGATAGCGAAGGGTTCTTGAGTCCCGTGTACGAACTGGACCGTGTGATTCTTTTTCTAGTAAAATTTTCTTTATCTTCTAAGGTTAAAAAACTCCTAATTCTACAGTACTTTCCCAGGCGGCACTCGGCTCAATTACGGTTAAAGACATTTATATTCTCAAAAGAATTTACAAAAAATCCACTTACAGAGAAAATACAATACGTGTTTACGTATCATTTTATTTTACACAGATCAAATATATATATATATATATATATATATATATATATATATATATATATATATATATATATATATATGTAATATATGTAAATTCTAGGTTAAGTTTGTCTTAGTAATACATGAAACTTATGTTATTTCCTAATTGTTTTTTGTTTCTTTCAAAGTGATACTATTATTGACATAAATAGGTTTTATAACATAGAAAGGTATCAATTATTTATTAAATACATTAATCTCTTATCTATTACACAAGTCCGTCTGTCTGTGGTGCTGTTTCAGCGGCCTAACCGTAAGAGATAGATAAAGAGAATATTTAAGTTATAAGTTAAGAATAGTCTGATAAGACTACAAACCGGATTTGAGTAACGTAGCACTTCCGGTTTTCGAGAAATCAGGTTTTGGTGAACATTTGGTTCACTGGTTTGCTATTAACTTATGCATCCACTGTAGTGACCGATAATATTATTCGCTATAACAATAGATTAGTAGGTATCACTAGTAATATTGGTAAATGACAGAACTGATAGTTTTACATAAGTTTATACGATCACATACTTCACACAATAGATAAATTTATAACTGAGACTTTCTCAAAATGTGCTCTTTCAATAACCTTTTAAATATGTTTAGTGACTTACTGTCTTTAATATTCTTTGGCAATTTGACTTGAATATCCGTTATCGTTTGATCGCAGGTACCACAATGTTCAACGGCGAAGCGGTCTCAGTACCTTCAGGGGCGGGTGTTTTGCCCCCCGTACCGCCTTCATCTGCCCCCTCCCCTTCCCCTGCGTCTACCCCCACCCCCTCCAATCCACACAAGGGCAAGTTCTCCCGTGAGTCCTTCGAAGAGATGAAGCAGTCGCCAGGACTCAAGAGCGGCGACATGAAGGACCCCCTGAACTTCCTCGACCCACTGTGGAGTCTCAAGAGGAAGTGATTAACGAGTCAACGCTGGAAAGGACTTGTGCAAAGCTCGGAAGTATGTTAATCCTGTCGATAAGAGTTTTAGGAGGAGTATACGGCACCATTTTCGTGCGAGTAAGTTTTGAAATAGTAATTTGATTCTTAGAGTTATTGTAATGTGATCACGTCATTTTGATGTTTTTATTTTAAGTATTTTTACTACTGGATGTTATGTAGAATTTAAAATATTAAGAATAGGGGTGATGCCGGGGTACAGTAAACGAAATTCTATTTAGTCCGTTAGTTAGATGATCAAAAAATAATGGACACGTATTTTTTCTTTGGGCAATCAACCAAAAAATGACAAAGTTATAGCGCGTCAAAGTTTGGGAGTAGGGGCTCGTGACGTCACTTTTGAGTGAATTTTCACTTATAAATGTACTCAAACGTGACGTCATGCGACTTTTCAAATCAATATATCTCTGCAATGTTTATATTATGTGAAAAAAGAAAAAATACGTGTCCAATACTTTTTGAAAATCTACCTGATAAACGAAGAAAAAAAAATTAGTCATCATCCCTATTGTATCAGCGTTACTTGTTGCATAGATTTGAGTTATTCCATTATGTTTTTAATTGCATGAGACTTAGTACCTTCAATCTAATGCAATAAAGACTGCTTTACATTGTCATATGGAAAATGAAGAAAAACAATGAATTTTTAGTTGTCCTTCTAATCAAACAAAATGTGACAACGCTGTGATAGGGACTAACATACTTTGGGCGGTTTGAGCTTTATTTCTCATTATGAAGCATTTGTGTATAAATATTATATAATTTGATGATTAGATTAATTAAATGTATTTATATATTATATTGATTGTAAATGTTTATTTCAACATTTTATTACAGTTTTCTATCATTATATAAAAATATCGAATGTATCAATTCGGAACCAATTTCCATAGAATTTAATACATCGCTCTATGAAGAGTTGTTTTTGTTAAATCAAATTTGCAGTTTATAATTATGTACTAATTGAGGCATTTTTGACGTGACAACGTCTTAAATTAGGTTGCGGCTGGGAGTCACTTATGAAAAAGTGTAACGCTCGGTAACGTTACGATGAGTTTAAGTTTACATGTACAATGTTTTAGTAAACAAAATATATTTCTATAGTTAAAATTTGTGCAATTCTTATTTTCATTCAATTCCTTGTTCCTATTGTGCAATTTAATTATATTCATATCAATAAATATTCTACCGAGAAAAAGACGTTGTCACGTAAAATCTTCGCCCGTAAAACCGACTTTACAGGCAACCATTTTTTTTTTAAACTTTGACTAGTTCCAAGCAAAACTAGCAATGAACGAGGTATAAATATTTTATACTTTAACTGTTACAATAAAAAGAAAAACGAAAAAAAGCAGAAATTCTTGTTTTTGGCGTCAAAAAAAAACATATATTATAACAATATTGGGAAATGTATTATGTGTACTTTTTATAAAATATTTGAACAAAATGGTTACAATATGTTGATATCAACAATATTATGCATTTCGAATTATTTTAAATTATTGAATATTGACGTAAAAGTCTAAAATGAGAGTTTTCGAGAATATGTATGCTAGTTGGCGCGTTGGTGACATGAAGTTCTTAATTTAAACGAGGTTTTTCGCTCCGGAATTTGTGGACATTTCACCTCAGTGTTGCCACCTAGAACGCGTTAAGGCAGATTTACATGAGTTCAAATTAAGAAACAAATCAGTTTACCACTTCGTTACGTAACGCGTTACGGCGCCAGTTTCTCCCTCTATCCCTCTCCCCTCGCTATAACATGAAATTAAGTATGATGCGAACGCCATAGCGTATTTACTTACACCCGTTAATGGGTACAGTAAATTGATTTAGAGATCGTACAGTACCGACGTCAAGACTACCGACTCCATACGGTGAATTCTCGAGTCAGTTCTCGAACTGCAGTACTGACCGATATTTGGTGTCAGCAACTGACCCTGTGTCATAGAGGCATAATAAGAATAGAGTGGGGAAGGCGGCTCTAAAAGTGTCCATCTAATAGAAAGAGAAAGATGATGACAGACGGCCAGCTATCTCTCTCTATTGCATCACATCGAAATAGTAAGATGCTTACGGTTGCCAATGCGCATGCGCGATTAGAGAGAGAAAGCTAGCAGTCTCTCATCTTCTTTCTCTTTCTATTAGAGAGACACTTTCATGCATGAGTGATTGATAAAAAGTATTGCAAATAAATTTAATTAACTTTTATTATAGATGGTAGTATTATTTACACTTGAGATTGTGTTGCAAAAATGGTTTAACCTCAAAATAAGTAGGTACCGTTTTATTTAAGGTGTCGTCGGTATTAAAATGATCTACATCTTTTTTGTTTAAATTTTTAATGTCATTTCTTCCCGCCCTATTTTCTTTTTTGAGTTGGAAGACCATCAGAGGTTCAGCTTCGGATTTTTTTAATAATACTCACAGAGCAATGCCTATGTTATGTTGCACGTCATGATACTGGGATTTCTACTAACCATAATATTGACTTGTGAACTTATCGTGTTAAGGGAACGTTCGTGTGTGATAAATTTTAGTATTTTGACGTGACAACGTCTTAAATTAGGTTGCGGCTGGGAGTCACTTATGAAAAAGTGTAACGCTCGGTAACGTTACGATGAGTCTCTCGTGTTAAGTTTAAGTTTACATGTACAATGTTTTAGTAAACAAAATATATTTCTATAGTTAAAATTTGTGCAATTCTTATTTTCATTCAATTCCTTGTTCCTATTGTGCAATTTAATTATATTCATATCAATAAATATTCTACCGAGAAAAAGACGTTGTCACGTAAAATCTTCGCCCGTAAAACCGACTTTACAGGCAACCATTTTTTTTTTGTTGCTGAATATTATTGGGTTACGTTATGCTTATTTATATACAGAGTGTAAAAAAAACTATGACAAAGACTAAAACTACGCATTCTGTACACTCAAACACGTGGAAAAAAATGTATTTTTAAGTTAATAAAAAAATCATTTTTTTCCAGTACGCAATGTATAGCGCGGCGCGCTACTGTAGCGCTACGCAAAGAATGTGCCTGTGTGTATGTGTGTGCGCGTGCGTAAGTGCGTCGATAAAAAAGTTTCTGAATAACGTTTTGAAAATATTAATGTAAAATCTTGAAAAAAAAAATTGACTTTGAACTTCAATATCTCCATAACCATAAATTTCCCAGGGATGGTCCAGAAGAAAAAAATTATTGTCATGATGTGGAAAACACGTGTCCTTCGACTTCGTTAATAGTTATTTATTATACAAGAGTGGAAAGTTCCTTTTTAACCGCGTGCTCGATTTGGATGACCGAGCAAGCGAAGGATTCTAAAGTTGAATCACGAGCGCAGCGAGTGATTCTAAATTAGAATCCTGAGCGTCAGCGAGGGAAACAAACGAGCACAAGGTGAAAAATCTTTCCACTCGAGTGCAATACGTAACTTTTCATCCCACCTCAGCGAGGAAATGACAAAATGAAAAAGAAAACAATTTATAATGACAAAATATTTAAGCAATAAAACGTGAAAAACTAGAATGGCGCGAAGCACGCAAATAAAACAAAGAAACCAAGAAGGTTCCAAATTTAAATTTTTTCACAATTTAAAAAGTTCTAATCATAAATTTGGCACCATAGAGGTTACATTAAATAGGTTTAATGACGTTTTGAATTTACAATTATATTGAGTACTCATTATATGTGATGTTCTAAATTCAAATCTACTTTGCCGCTCAAGCGAATAAAATAGAATTTTCCAGCCAGATTTCGAAGCGCAAAATTACACTTTCCGAGGTGGTGGGATGAAAAGGTTTTTTTACACCATGTATATATATTATTGTCGCCATTTGAGACTCAACAGAAATTAGATTTTGGTTTTTTTGTGGGTCAAACCCTTTTTGAATAACACAGTCTATTTTATAGATCGATCAACCACTTTAGTGTAGTTGCATTCCTATTGTTTAGAGTTTATTGTTGTATGCTTTAAGAATTTATAATGTATTTAAATATCACTAAAGTAATTGTACAGTCGCCATCAGATATATCTGAGCATACAAGGTGACCAAATACATCTGAACAGTTAAAATGTCATTAAGTTCTATACGCTACAAGTGACCATAAATATCTGAACATTCATTACTTCAATAATATCTGAGCAGATGCCTGTCAATAATATCTGAACATACAACTTTTCAAAAATATCTGAACACGTCAATGATTATGTATCCACGCAGATCATGCACTGGGCTTACATATTTTGTTACTGCGTGATTGAAGGGATGAACTAAAAACAAAGGCTAAATATAAATACGATGAGAAGGGAATAAAAATCTATCAGAAAATCATTCGTGTAGGTCACCACGAGTAGTGGAAATGGAAGATGCCTAATTTTTTCTCTATTTATTTTTTATAATTAACGAGAAGTTATGTTTTTATTTTATTCTATAGATTAAATTCTCAATATCTCATTAGAAATTTATTTAATAATAAGACAACTGCGTTTTTTAACCGCAATAGAAATAAGTAATAATTTGGAGGAAACATTTGTCCCACTATTTCCATTGCAGTGGAAAATGGAATTCTGTACTTGTCATGCTCAAACTGGGCGCCATCCTTACAAAAATTTTATTTACTGTCTGAGTGGATGTGTTTGTTTGGTTTGGGTATGATTATTTATAAAAGTGAAAATTAATAAAAAACTATTTTTATTATACTCTTTATTGCATCATACAGTTTAAAACATATAGTCAAATACATAGTAAGCAAAGGTGGGCTTATCTCTAAAAGAGATCTCTTCCAGCCAACCTAGGTGGTGTCGGAGATTCAAAACTATTTTAATTCTTATAAATTTTTATTGAGTTAAATAATCAAAAAATGTAAACGAATTAACTTGGTACCTACCTCAGTAGATGCTTAAGCTTAAGTATTTATTATTATAATAAAATTATAATCGAGATCGAAATAAAAAAAAGCAACTTCTGATACAATGAGTTTAAAATTAAATAGTAACAAAATGTCTTATTCTTATAATTATACATGAGATCAAATCAAAAAGTTATCAGGCAATTAGTAAGGTTCTTGAAATTAGCGTATTATTATTAGCTTAATAATTTCCCAATATTTTTTTTTCCCAGTTTTTATTTTTATTAAAATCTTGTTCCTAAGAACAGATCTTCATATATATTATAGTTTCAGACTTTCCCATCCTGACCCATTTCAATAAGCCAACCTGTATAATGAGAGTGGAGGGTTACCCGGGGAGAGGAAGACCGAAGAAAAGATGGATAAATTGTGTGAATGAGGACATGGCCAGTAAGGGAGTGAGTGTTGATATTGCGAGTGATAGAGGAGAATGGAAGCGGAAGACATGTTGCGCCGACCACAAATAGAATTGGGAAAAGGGCATGCAAATGATGATGGTCAAAAATGAAATCATAAAAAGGCAGCTTACAATAACATGGATCTGCAAGATTTCATAATCCATGTCTGTACTGTAGATTGGTTAGCAGGAGAAAACATGTCTATATGCAGTATATTTGAATAGTATGCATATTTAAAAACCAGTCAAGTGCGACTCGGACTCGCGCACGAAGGGTTCCGTACCATTATCTAAATAAATATTTTTATATTGAATTAAATGTAAATTGCGGTTGTGTTTTTTTAAATTCGTCATATTATTTGTAAATATTATTTGTAAATAATATGACGTATTTAAAAAAACCAATGCAATGCAATGGAAATAGTGGGACAAATGGAATTCTGTACTTGTCATGCTCAAACTGGGCGCCATCCTTACAAAAATTTTATTTACTGTCTGAGTGGATGTGTTTGTTTGGTTTGGGTATGATTATTTATAAAAGTGAAAATTAATAAAAAACTATTTTAATTCTTATAAATTTTTATTGAATTAAATAATCAAAAAATTTAAACGAATTAACTTGGTACCTACCTCAGTAGATGCTTAAGCTTAAGTATTTATTATT